TATCTGACAGTGTACGATGAAAGCGCTCAGTCAGGCCGTTCATCTGAGGATGGTAACTGGAGCTTATTTTGTGTGTAGTGCCGGATGCCTTGAGCACTTCTTCGACGAGTTCTGAAAGAAATACTCTTCCACGGTCGCTCAGGATTACACGAGGAGCTCCGTGTCGAAGGATTATTGCTCGAAGGATGAAATCAGCCACTTCCGAAGCTGATGCAGAAGGCACGGGAGCTGTTTCGGCGTAGCGGGTCAGGTGGTCGACAGCTGTAACTATCCATCGATTGCCCGTGACAGTCATAGGAAGCGGACTATACAGGTCAACGACAACTACCTCGAATGGTTGTAGGAGACACGGGAGCGGTTGTAATTGTCCACTTCAAGTTGATGTAGGTAGCTTGCGACGCCGAAAAAGGGTGCATGAGGCAACGTACTTCGCAACACAGGTGGACAAGCCTGGCCAGTAGTAGTGACATCTTATGCGGTCATACATTTTCTGGAAGCCCATGTGTCCAGCAGACATGTCGTCGTGATATGTCTTGAGGACTTGAGCCCGAAAAGAGCGAGGTAGAACGGGCACCCAGCGTTGACCATCAGGGTGGTAGGTATGACTGTACAGGACATGGTTGTTGAGCTTGAATTGCGCCAGCTGTCGGCGAAGACGGGCGTTAGGGGGCCGGCAAGTCCCGTCAAGACGGTCCATGATGCGGCGACAGTAAGGGTCAGCACGTTGGTGAGATAAGAACAAACCACACTCGCTTGGAGTAGTTGGGTCCACAGTAGCTAATGACGAAACATGTAGGGAAGAGACGGCCGAAAGCTTCTCAAGTGTGGCAGTGGCGGGTTTGTTAAGTGGCTCCGAAGAAAGCGGGCAAGGCGAAAGTGCGTCGGCGTCTTGATGTTTGTTTCCCGACTTGTATGTAATCGTGAAGTCGTATTCTTGTAAGTGAAGAATCCAGCGACCAAGGTGGCCGGACAAGTTCTTGATTGTCGAGAGCCAGCACAAGGCGTGATGGTCCGTAACCACAGTAAAGTGGCGACCGTGGAGATAAGGTCGAAACTTTTGTATCGACCATATGACCGCTAGGCACTCCTGTTCGGTGATAGTATAATTCTTTTCGGCAGGGGTCAGTGCACGGCTCGCGTATGCGACGACTTTCTCACGTGAAGATTTGTCTCGCTGTAGGCGAATTCCACTAATGCCTCGACCACTAGCGTCTGTATGCAGGAGCGTAGGCGCGGTTTCGTCAAAATGGCAGAGGACTGGTTCGGATGTGAGTGCACACTTCAGTTGGGCAAACGCCGTTTCACATTCAGAAGACCACACAAAGGTGAAGCCTGATCCGAGCAACTTGTGCAATGATGAAGCTATTGAGGCAAAGTCTCAAATGAATCGGCGAAAATGAGAAGCGAGGCCAAGAAAACTGCGCAAATCTTTGGCTTTTTCAGGACGCGGGAAGTGTTGGACAGCGGAAATCTTGTCTGGATCGGGACGAATACAGTCCTTGCTTACGATGTGGCCTAACACTTTAATCGTCTTGCTCGCAAAACGGCACTTCTTGGTGTTCAGCTAAAGGCCTGCCTTTGCAAGGTATGTAAGAACTTCGTCCAGTCGTTGCAAGTGCTGAGGGAAGGTTGAAGAGAAAATAACGATATCGTCTAAATAGCAAAAGCAAGGCTTCCATTTCAAGCCTCGTAAAACTGTGTCGATCATCCGCTCGAATGTTGCTGGAGCATTGCAAAGGCCGAATATGACGTTGAATTCGTACAGCCCATCTGGTGTTGAAAACGCTGTCTTTTCTTTGTCATCCTCGTGCATGGGTATTTGCCAGTAACCTGAACGCAGGTCTAGGCTTGAGAAGTACTCGGCACCTTGCAGTGAATCCAAAGCATCATCTATGCGCGGCGTGGGGTAAACATCCTTGTGGGTCATCTTATTAAGTGCTCTGTAGTCCACGCAAAATCGCACGGAGCCATCTTTTTTCCTTAATAAAACAACAGGGGATGACCAAGGACTCGCGGAGGGACGTATAATGTTCCGTTGCAGCATATCCGCGACATTTTGTTCAATGATTTCATGCTCGGATGAAGAGACGCGATATGGTCTTCAACGTAAGATGGAAGTGCCATCGGTCTGAATACGATGCCTAATAATGGACGTCTGTCCCAGAGATGAGGAATGGGCATCAAACAATCTCCTATGCTTTTGTAGCAGGGCAAGCAACCCATCTGTCTGTGAAGAGGTCAGTTCTGGACTAATAGTCGCAGCAAGAACAGAAATGCTTGAAGAACGTCCTATAGAAGGAAGGTCAGAACACGCTGGCATAAGCGGGACAACAAATACAGGTTGGGATTCAGTAACGCAAGCCATTGTGGTGCCTTTAGGAATGAGAATTTTCTCAGACGTCTGGTTTGTAGCGTAGAGAAGTACGGAGCCATTGTGGAACCGCGCTAGACCTGAAGCAAGGGCTATACCTCTTGCGAGACAGCATGCAGATGATTGGACAAACACGTCACCAGAGTCGATCACATTAGAAGTGATGGTAACTATTCGCCGATGACCAGGTGGTAGCTCGGTATCTTCAGCAGCGAGCAAGCGAACGGGCTTGTCATCCGCATACAGGGCATAGTCAGTTTCCATCATATGAACAGCTTTTTCTCGACAGCAGATGGAAGCGTTCGCCGTAGACAGAAAATCCCAGCCTAATATAAGCTGGTGGGCACACGAACTCAGCACAGCTAATTGCACAAAATGAAGAAGACCAGCTATGAAAACACGAGCGGTGCACATAGCGGCAGGTCTAATGGCGTCCCCTTGAGCAGCGAGCAGTGTAGGTCCATCATGAGGGGTGGTGACTTTTCGCAGACGTGAGCACAAGGAACGATCAATCACAGACAAACAAGCACCAGTGTCTATTAAAGCGTCCACGTACACACCTTCTATTAAACAGATATCGTATTATATGGACGCACTGGAGGAATTTGTCTTTTCGTTCGATGCAGCTTTTCCTTTAAAAGCTGCAGAGGTTAGTTTTCCGGGCGTTGGTTGGTGAATTGCGAGACAGGTCGCAATGGAGACGTGGAGCGGCGGAGGGGTGAGGGTGAGCGGCGTCTAGTAGAGTGGTAAGAAGTGGTTGGCTCAGATTTCGCAGTTGGAGATGGTGAGCAACGTAGCAGCGGATCATAAGGATGACGTTGGAAAGCGTACCAGCTTGTCCCATCATCCCGTCCGTAGGTGTCGAATCCACGACGCTCGTCCTGCTGACGCTTCCGACAGACGCGTGCAATGTGGCCCCGATAGCCGCAGTAATAACAGATCGGACGAGGCGGCCGCCATGGTGGGTGAAAGGGCTGGCTAGGCGCACTCGGAGTTAACGAAGCCAGTGGGACAGGCGTCGAGTGTGCGGGCATCGGTTGTACGGACGGTTGGTGAGCCAGCGAGGACTTGTGCGTACGTCGGCTGGAGTCGAGGTACTGAAGAGTACAGAGTCTACATACGCTGGCCCGGTCATGGACACCAACTCCTCTTTGATAACGTCGCACAAAACAGTGTTGGAGGGGAAAGGTTGACTCGGTGTCTTTGAGAGGCCGAAAGATTGCAGCTCTTCCCGTATAATCGCCCGGATCATGGCACGCAATGAGGCATCAGTCGTGGTGGTGTTTTCAGCGCTATCCGGCGGTAACCGTTGGGACTCAAGTTCCTCTAGGCGTTGGCACGTGGCAACAACGTCAGCGACTGTGGTCAGGTTTTGTATGACCAAGGCATTGAATGCGACCGTGCCGATCCTTTTCAATAGATGACGAACTCTGATTCAGACATGGACGTGCTGAAACAGTGACAGAGAGCAAGCACATCCTCTATGTACGATGTGTAAGACTCACCGCATTGTTGCTTGCGAGCATCCAGTGTCTTCTTCACGAGAGCTGAACGAACCACCGGGGTGCCGAAAATTTGGCGAAGCTGTTGCTTGAAACGTGTCCAGTCCGTAATGTCCGTTTCATGATTGAAAAACCATGTTTTCGCTGCGCCTGTCAGATAGAAAGAAACACGGCGAAGCTTGGTAGGATCATCCCAGTTAGTAGAACTCGCTCGATGGAACTGGTCCAACCAATCCTCCACATCTTCACCTCGAAGTCCGGCGAACGTGGGCGGCTCACGCTGGTGCGCGGTGATAATCCACGATGGATAGGCCGCGGTAGCCGGGGCCGTCGAGGTAGACGCAGAAGCGCCGGTTGGCTCGTCCTGAGGCATTTTAACGGACACCTGGCACAAACGACGACCTGAACGGAGCTCCAGGAGGCAGATCGGGCTGGGAGAGGACGGAAGATCATAGAGCACACTCCACCACTTGTGATGTAACAGTGAAGGCAACCTTTATATGGCCCAGAAGACACGATGAAGCGACCACATCCAAGGCACAGAACTCAGGCAAGCTAAATCCCCACAGCAGATGAAGATGACGACCACTCATGATGATGAATATGTGTAAAGATAGTAGATGTGCTTAATGAATGCCTACAATATATATATATGCTTCAAATAAATTTTCAGTTGTTGGACCAGTGCTTGTCTTGTTTCCTTTTATGTGCTGCCCAATTATGAATAAGTTCCAACTCGCCCACCTTTCAGTTCTACTACAAAAATATACCACATGACATGTCCATTTGCGTGCCACGATTGTAGTGCTTATAAATGTTTCCTGTACAAACGATATGCTTCCTTAGCAATCATTCATGACAGCAGTAAGTCGTACACAATAGGTGCATCCTAGCACAGCGACCACCCTCGGCGCTGCTCACCTTTTGAGCAGCAGCATACCCGGCCAAGCACTACAGTCATTTGCATACACATGTTAGGAAGCACTGCCATCCCAGCATGCATAAGCACACAAGCGGTCATGTCCCGTGCTATCTTTCAAATTTTGCGGGCATCAGTAACAAGCAAAAAGAAACATATTAGATAGAAAGTTAGAAACCACCTAATCAGATGTTTTGCACACCAATCTACAACTTTCATTGGAATTTATTGCTCAGTTTCACTGCTTCAAAAGCCCATTAATTATTCTCACTTGACTAAACAATTGAACAGAACACAAGAGTGATGTCACTTAATCCATGCCACAGTCAGCAATATGTATTTGGTCTCATCGTCATAGAGTGTGTCAGCATATTTGTAAACTCTGGCTAGAATTAGCTACAGTGCCCTTATAAACCTCTGCACCACTTAACGAAAAATCATGGAAAATCGCAGAATATTATGGTGAGAACAATAACACTGATAATAGCAGAAAAAAAAACTGCTCAGTATGTTTTCGTAAGTGTTACAGTTTCAGCTTGACAATATTACTAAAAAAGAATTTAAAAAAGAACATATGTCAATAAAGAATTTGCCCAAATGCCAGCAACTAAAAAGCATTAATTCCTAGTACTCTTTCTGGCCTTCAAATTTTCTATCGTAGTTGATGCAATGCAAGACAGCTGTCATTTAAATTCTAGGACATTTTGTGGTCGAAAGCAATAAGTGGCACTAATACTTTTTTTTTACAGCATTGTGTGAAGGGCTCCTCAATTAACAAAATTTACAGTGATTATGAAATATGTGCTATACCTATCAGAGCTTTCCATTATGAATAGAGGGTTGTCCTATGTGTAGGGGTTTGGCCTTTGATAACCTTTACGCCCACTAGCGGAATTTTGCAGAACTCATTTGCAATGTTATAAAGAATACTATACTACCATAAACCAAGGCAATATGTGTTACATGCATGAAGTCCAAAATAATGCAGATTGGGCGGCATTGGTAGAATACAGGTAACATTGGAGTGTAGTGTTAGTCACCTACACAATATCGCGGACAGTCTAGCATATTGCCAAGTAGTCAATAGCTCACAGAAAGTTCTGTACGAGTTCTGAGCAGCATCAAAAGGTTCAGCATAATCAGTGCACAAAAATCAGCAAAGGTTTCTTACAAAGTAAAAAGTGGGGTTCATTAGGCCAATTTACAGGAACTTCTTTCTTGCTTCCTCCAAACCAAGTTTAAAATACATAAATATTCATGCAAGTTCAAAGCAAAATTATAATTAACTAGTTACTTTATTAGCTCATAACTTTTTCAAAGCTGAATGGCAACCTTTTTTGGCTAAGTGACATGGAGGAGGAAGCACCATGTCACAATTTCGAAGCCGAGCATAAAAAAACAGGAGCGTGCTGGGAATTCTATCATGAGCATCAAGCACAAGATGGGAGCGGCTTTAGGGGATGCTGGCTTGCGGACGCTAGGCGCACTACCTCTCAAGTTTAAAAACAGTGAAGCTATTTTTAGTCTAGGCTTTCATGTCCGGGATCCTATGGCAGCGGGCATCATCAACGAGTATGCACCATAAAAGCTGGATAAATCCCACTATTCAGCCCTGGTTCACTCAGAAGAAAGAAGGCAATAGACTAACAAATGGCGTGCAATTTACCACAGTCGCACAACTGTCCTGTTATACTTTGTGGTTATAAAAGGTGGTGGCTATATTACCAACTCAAAACTTAACAAAGTATGTTTATTAAAGAGCAGTGACACAACATATCTGAAAGACTTGCAAAACATACAAATGCAATAGCCTGGGACCACCAGCTTTGCAGTTTCATCAGTGTCCATGAAGCATAGCTAGTTAAGTGTTTCTTTTTTTTTTTCTCCATGCAATGCGATTGACACATTGACACAGTTGTTCCATGAAAATTTCAAGCAGCAAATCAATATCCACAATTCGAGTACACACCCTTCAACCAGCAGACGAGGTATAAACCACTACTTTTTAAAGGGCCAGTAAACAACCCCGAGGTCCAAAAGTTATGAAGAGAAATATGCGCACTTTTGCTATGTACACATGCTGCCACAAGAATTTTGCAAATACGTGCTAAAATAACAAAATTATAGGGGTTAGAACATCCGTTTCAGCGGGTTTCAATATTACACGTGACCTTGCCACCTTTCTTTGTCATAGGGAGGGGAAAGGTGTAGCCCGCTGTCGTGACTCCGCTCACTTTCGGCAATGTGACATGACGTTCGCGATACATTATCGGCACACAGACAATGACCAAGTACTGCATCGCCGACATGAGCATGTGTCATAGCAGCGCGGAGAGAAAGTGCAGTTCGAGGAGCACACCTCCCCTAGTAGTAAAGTAGAGAGACGCCTCTTTGTCTTGGAGGCTTTTCGTTCTGGTAATACTGCTTCTCCCGGTAGTCTTGGGCTCTACAAAATGACAGAGGGCTGCACAGGAAAATGAAATGCGGACTGCGCCGCCGAAAACGCATCACCGCAGAGCCAAGGTGTCGTTTAGTACAGCAAAGGACCAATCGACGAGCTCAGTGGTACGTAAAGTTGCCCAAGAGCAAGCTTTCATCACTGTGCTTGTACGAGGAGGATTCTTCAGGCAAAGAAAATGGATGTGGGATTATTTTTCGAAATGAAGAGTCTACATGGCGTGTAACACTGTAATATTTGAAAATTTTGATCGCCACGGTGTACTGTACAAGTTGGCAAGCTTGTTTGCAGAGTGTAAAAAAAAAGTCAAAGCCTGTTTACTGGCCCTTTAAGTTGTAATGATACTGGAACGAAGGCAGCAAGACAAATGCAAAAAATTTAGTAGCAGTAGGAAAGGATACAACCGGCAAAGAGTAGAGTAATAAAGTGCATTGGGAGGCTGCTAAAAGAAAGACATCCAAGACCTCTATAGATGTACTCCAAACCAAGCCTTCCAGTGATAGGAGGGAGTAGTAGTCCACGAGTCTCTGTAATAGGAGGGAGGAGTAGACCACTAGAGAAGTGCTTTGTACAACGAAAGTTCTGTTTGACCAATATTCTTGATTTATACGGATAAACATTGCAATGCCTGTCTAACCTGCATTTATCTCCACAATTACATACCAAATAGTGTTACAGCTGCATCAAGGCAATGTTTACTATAATAAGCACGTTAATATTCAGGGTGTGCCAAAGTTCTTTGTTTAGCACAGGCAGGCAGTGAGAAGTAGGTTGAGTTTGTTATAGACAAACCAATGCTTCCATAAAAGTTTAGTCTTTCTGCATGCATGAAATAGTGAATGCCAATGTTAATGTTAATAGGAAGTTATAGTGCGTTGAACATTCACGAGTGAAATCCCAGCTTGAAATTGACGCACTTGCGAACATTCAACATGCAGGGAAGCAACAGCCGAAATTAAATTTGGAGCAATTTTTGGAATACAAAATCTTACTTTTATATCATGAAATAGCAAATTTGGAGCAGCATAAAAAAAGAAGGCTTATATTTAGAAAAAAAAAAGATGTATAAACCATTTAACATCACCTAAATCATGCAGTGTGAACATCAGCGCTGCCATTTCAATGAAAGTAGTATTTAGAATCCCCCCGCTGAGCAAACAATGATGAAGTCCATATTGGCATTTGCTGTGCCTGTCAAATCGTTTGACAGACTTTGCGAATGTAAATATATATCTGCCAAGTTATGACCTTGAAATTTGGGAGATTTGCAAAACTAAGAAATAGGGGAGGCAAAAAAAAAAACTGGCACACAATTTACTTTGTTTGTTTTAGGGAAGCAGAAATGTCATACAATGCTTCAGGTGATTGCCAGTAGATTATTTAGACATCAGTAATTATAATGGTACTCAGAATTGTGCGGCATACAAACGCATGAGTAACTGAGCAAAATGTGCAGTGTCCCACTAGCGCTAACAGCCCCTTCCAAATCTCAATATGCTATTCCGCAAGGCACTAGTGTACTGCGGCGAAGGTGGCTCAAGCAGCATTAGAACCAAAGCTAAGAAATTTTATTTATTTATTTATTTAGCAATGCTACCGATCTCACAAGAAGACCATTGTATTTTCTAACCGCTACACCACCACCACACTCCCCCCCCCCCCTTTTTTTTCACCGTGGAGTTAGGTGCCGCTTCGGCTCCCTTGCAAGGCGTGTTCGACCAGGTTAAGTAACAACGGCGCGCGCCCGCAGGACCTGGCAATGATACCGGATATCTATCGCCAGGACCGTGGCAGGGATGAAACTTCAAGACAAAAATAAATGTTTTATGTACCACTGTTAAGGCATTCAACATGTTCGCTGGCAACGCTGGCATTCGCAGCACGTCGAGTTTGTTCGCCCGAGAAAGACGCGGCATACGCTTCCAGCTATAGTTCTTAACAAGCCATAGCTGCATTTTCAGGTTAGGAAATTTACATTTCCCGCGAAGTGTCGGTGGCTACAATATAATATTTTTGTCTTGAAGGTTTCTTTTGTCACCGATAGGTATCCGCTGTGGTCAGCGAACCGATGGGTGCAGCAGCGTTATTTTATCTGGTCGATCTCATCTCGCGAGCATATGACGGGTGTTTAGAATATTTTAAGCATATTCAAGGCATTATAGTTCGAGTCTGCGCGGTTTGACTGATGGCGCAAGCTGCAGGTGGCCTACACGGCCTGCATTTCTTGCCGAAACTAAAAAGTCATGGAGTTTCATCACAATCAGTCAAGAAATTAAAAAAAAGTTTTATAGTAGTATAACCCGTCAACAGAAGTGTGCAAATATTCGAAAATTTAGAACAACAAATCGAATAGCAATCTATTCAATTCGGTGCTCAAATTGAATTGGCATATTTGAAATACCAAATAATTTCCTAATATATTTTTGGTAAGTCAGGATGGATTATAAATGCTCAAATGAACAAGACATTGGAACAAGGAGCCCCCACCTCCCCTCCCAGCAACTTTTCTTTTTGCATCATTACTGAGATGCATGCAGCCCATGTATACTTGCAATACTATAATCGCTATATTTACCACAAGGTAAAGACATTCTTGATTAAAACTTCACAGTCACTGATGTGGCAGAATCATCAATTCACTCTCCTTACCATGGCATTCATGATGATTTAAAATGAAGAAAATTACTTAACATTTATGTATGACGTTTATTTAAAACATTTCGAAAAATACCACCTTGAATATTGTATGTAACTGCTATATTTCAGCCAGCAGTTACAAGATATTTCGAACGCTCTAGTTGCTGTTGTATATGAGCATGCCCCCAATTAAAATAACTGTAGTATTTTCTGTCAGTTAAAAGTCACTGCAATGTTTCCAGTGAAAGCTTTTGAATATTTGTTTTAAGTTAAACTACTATAAAATTCTTAGGTCATTTTGAAAATTGTTACTTTATTAGTCTAGGGTTGCTTTGAAAAAGGTTGCCTCACTATTCAAAAACTATAAAATGTATTCGATTTTTTTTTCGTGTTTGATTCAGTATCCTCAATATTCAGTTCATACTTGATTCCGCCCTAAAACTCACACCCCTGCTATTTAAACATGACTATCAAACCTTTCCGAAAGCTCGAGTACTGAAAATGAAGCTTAGAACGACATAAGTTGAGTTGGTTGATAAGGGTTCATCTTGAAAAAAAAAAAAAGAAAGGCTTGTGCACAGAAACACAAGATAACAGGACAATACAAACATTGACAATCAACTGAAAGGGCACTCTTTGGAAAGAAAAAAAGAAGTAGGAGCCAAAACTTATCGCAAGTGCCAATAAGTTTTGGCTGCTCCTTATACACATTCATATTTTACATGATAAATGCTTTACATGAGTACAGCACTGTTAAGCTAATGTTCAGCATATGTATTTGCCAAGTTTAGCTTTAACTTCTCTCAGAACCAAATCCCAGCTGCCTAAACGCTAGGAGTGTCAAAGTGAATCAAAAATGGGTTAAGAAGTCAGCACAGTCATTTGTTGAATGTTTGTAGGACAAGTAGCTGTATTTTTATTTCAGACTTCCGACATGACGATCTTGTTTTAAATTATAAACGAAAAGTCTCACACAAGCCGGGCAATAAAATTATATCGGAAAGAAAAATGGAACGAGTGCATTAGCCACTGAGACTGTTATGGATTCCTTGAAAAGTTGAGTAATAGAGAAAGTCCCCGTACGCTTAAGGAATCTTTCGCATGTTTGGATGAAGGATTCATGTTTGGTGGCTTGCATTTCCTAGAAATAATAATACCAACCAGCAGAAATACTAGCAGCATAGGATATCATGATGAAATGGTGTTAGTGATGTGATGTAGTTCAGCAAAGACTGCAGAAAAGACACAGAAAGTCTCAGGTCTACACATTGCAGTCATTTAAAAAAATGAAAGTAGTGCAAAAAGTACACTCAAATCTCGATATAACGATCCTGGATACAACTATATATCAGTTATAATGAAATAAGTGAAGAGTAGCTTTTGGGAATATACCTTTATAACTCATTTTCAGATATAAAAAACATATTTTGATGCAAGATGCAGCTTTGTTACAATGAGGTTTGAGTGTAGTTCACTGTCTTTCATACGGGAATGCAGTCATATTTCTGTCAGCCATACAAGTATTGACGGCAGAATACAGAAGCTTGCATTTCTTTCCAATACTCTGTATTTTATGAAAAAAAATCACGTACACTGCCCCTCTAATGTTCTTAATCAGTCCCATGTGGGGTGTTACTCACATGATGGCTTATTTTCAAGCCCTACACTTCAGCTGCTATGCCACGGCAATACTTGCAACACACCCCGACATTGATTAAGAAACAATGTCAGTAACATAATTACAGTAAGAAGCTTCTATTTTGAATGATTCATTCATTCATCACAGAAATTTTATCGTCACTCAAAGGGGTCCCGAACTACTTTTTCAAGTAAATATCGAATGATCTCAGTGCAGGAGTTTATTGCCTAGTGGATCGATTGCCGCAAAATTATTTTGAATCCATCAAGTATAAGCAGAGTTTGAGGGGATATTTCACATGTTTTGAGCACTTCTCTTTTCTCCATCTTGACAAGAATGCTGGAGGCTAAACAGGGAGGAATGGCATGGAGGAGAGAAGCTATGTCAGCGCTCATCTTTAAACGTATTCACTCACTTTTCGTGCGATTGGGTGAACAGTGGTATGCTGCCGTGTAACATTAGCACACCATACAGGTTTTCTCACACAACTTGAACTGACACTTCAAAAATGAAAGGCTGTCAGAATTGAGCTGAATTGAACACATACCATTTGCACCAGCCTATATTCACTCAGGCTACCTTTTGTTTTTCCTTAACTAATGTTTAATTAACTAACTTTATGATTATTGGCAGAAGGCACAAGTATGATCACCGAGTTGTAAAGAACCTTCAGAACCCACAGACTAAATTGTTTCCCGTGTGGTACATCTTATGTTGTCCTTTTTTCTGTGTTGCAAAGAAAGCTAGCAAAATTAAAAAAACCTACCTGATGAAGTGCTTATACACCGATAGTGCTGCTTTAAAGCATGCATTCAGTTTTCTAACATTAGGACAATGTTATAACAAACTGATCTTAGTTTAAGATTGGTGAAAGTGCATTCAAAGCGAAGACACAAAAAAGGCAAACATACACACACACAGTGCGCTACTTTCAACCAAACCAGGTTGAAAGAAGTGCTATGTATGTGAGTGTGTATGCCTTTTTGTGTCTGTTTTCAGTACGCTTTCAATGTTCTTAAACATGGAATACCTACGTGCCAAGATGTCGGCCTTGGTGATTTCGATTGACTTGTGTCTAACTACCACAAGTAGCTATGAGAAATACAGATCCAAGCAGCTGCCTATATAGTATAAAAGATAGCATACTTACTTCTCTTACAGGTTTCTCATAATGTGGCAAAAACTCCTTCAAGCTCGGGTCGTAAGTATCAGGAACAAAGCACTGAAGCTCAAAGTGGCATGCTGTCGTAGTGTTTCCATCCTATTCCCCCCAAAATCAGACACATACAACAAATCACACAAAGCAATATTTCAAGAAATACTAATGCTGATTTCTATATGCACCTATATCAAGAATGAAAAAAAAAAAGGATGCAATTAACATACATGTGTTTATGCTTTATGCTGCTAAAGAAAGCTAGCCTTAATGACACAATTTACGATGTGAAAATTTAATGCAAACGCGGCTCATACATGTCAAAAACAACATAACTGAGAGCTATTCAGTGCCTCCATTGAGGTAATTGGAGATGAGAGAATCAAATTTATCCAAAGCATTTAGTCACACTAGTGGTTTTCAGGCATCATAGCTACAAATTCATCTGTGCAAACCATCATCAGTCAAAGTTATCAGAAACTAGTTCTTTTTTGTTTCCTTCTGACTAAGTGATTGAATGACTGAAAAAAAAAGACTTGTATTCCTTCAACACAAACTAGGATGCTCCCCTAAAAAATTACTTGACTCACAGTGAAGCGTCCTTTCCACACGGGAAGCCACTCATATTGAAGGTCCAAGCCAGTAACTGTCATGCTATTCATCCATTTGTCCATCTGTATGCTCGAACCAACTCCCAGAGGTCTAAAAGTAGCATGATGCCACATATAGGCTCTGAACAGGGCACCATAGAGCATGACATTGTCCCTGCAATAATTTTGGCAGTAACCAAGAGAAACAGAAGTTAACACATGTTATTAATGGCTGTTGAAAACTCTTAATTTGACATTACTAGATCTAAATTCAGGTGGCCTAAATTAACACAATAAAAGAGATTCTCAAAATAAAAACAAAAATGCTACTTCATAAGCCACATCATGACACATGCTTCATTCAAGCAGTATGAAAATGAAAGCCCACACTGCCTCCAAAAAACTGCAGCAGCTATACACACATATTGCAGGGAAGCGTCCTGCGGGGCCAAATATTCAGAAAGCCACTTACATATGAAGCCATTATATTTAAATTCAAATGTCACATGTAACCGATGTTTTAAGATTGTTCCATTTTTCAATCTATTAAATCGGAGCCTCAGAAAAGGTCTGGCAGCACCACACTAAGGGTGAGGCGAGCACCTTCCATTCTTGGAGCACTTAGTCAGTTTTCATCACTTTGGTGCTGTCAACCCCCACTGGCTCACTATCTAATACTTTGTCCCTGGTGGCATCATAACACATAAAGGATACAGTGGAAGAGCCAAGCTATGGGCAAGTTTTTTTGTTGTTGTTTGCTTGTATTTTTAATGTTGTGAATGACATGCCTGCAAGTTGTAGTGCTGCTGCATTTGCAAATTATTACCGTCACGGCACAAGGTACATGATGCGCATGTTTATCAGACTTATAAAAAATTGTCAAACGTAGTTCAAAGGCCTTTCATGAGCAGTAAACATTAGCTTTGTTATGGTGAAACTAGCTCAGCCCAAATTTGCACAAACATCTGCCAACTAACCAAGCACTAATGCACCCAAATACGCTCATGAACACACTTCATCAATGACTGTGAGCACATGCCACTGCTAATTTTTTGTGTTGCAGGCCCTTCTATTGTTCATGGTTCAACAGATCACATGACATCTCACATATGACAGAGCTTTCTTAAATCACTGTTTATCAATAGAAAAATGTGGCCAGGTGGCCTTGTTGACTGTATATTGTCAAATATCCATTTTTTCTGCGTTTTTAATGGCACATACCGCCGTTAAAACACAATGAGGTCAAGAGAAAGTATGCCCTGAGCTTAAAGACTTTGATGGCTCCTCTGTAATGTTTTGGTTAGTGATTAAACAATTCTGTTATGAAGTATCAAGAAGGCCAAAATGTTTCAGAATTCAGCTCATAGACGTCAGACTCTGCCCAGGCGGCTGCTGCGAAAAACGCCGCCACCAGCGCCCCCATCGCTGCGCTGGCCATAAAGGGGTAATGCAAAGAGAGCCGTCTGCGAGCAAACGTGCATAGGTGCCCCTCTTTCGTTGGTATTGAGACGGGGTTTCCTAAAAATCAAACACCTGGCAAGCCTCTTCCTTCAATCCAAGCTCGTTTTAGTAAAGTAGGAAGCTCATCAAAACGAATTTCTGGTACAATGCAAAAGATGTTTGTTATTTCGGGGTGCTGCAAGCGAGCTTTGCATGACATCCGAGTTCAAGGCAAGCACTCCGACGAGCGTTCTGTAACGCCTAAATGCATCAAATTTGGGCATACACATGATGCCAAAGCATTGAAGTGAATACACAAGCAATATAACAATCAGTGGCACGAAGTTTGCTTTATTCGGCATGAATGGCCCTGGCAATTTTCGCCTTTGCAGTTGCATTCTTCATCGATCTCTCGCTTCCTGTGTGTTGAAGTGTTTTATTACGCATGCTAGAATGTTTTGTTGAAGGTTGTCTTCCATTTGTATATACTGCAAATGGGGATACATGCATGTCTACTTTCTAGGTATACGACGAAAGGCACAACTGAGGCCTCCGAGATATCTCCGGCAATCACGAAGACCACCGGCCACAAAAACCTGATTGTGGTCCGATCATTTTGCGATTTACCTGTATGACATACGTGTTCGCATTTACTATTTAAAGCCAGAACTTAGAGCCTTCAAAGGCGTACATGCGTAATGGTGCATGGTAGCAACAACTTCAGATTATCGGTGGTCGCGGCGTGTGCTATGTTCATCGCTCGCGTCACCTGTCTACTGTTGCACGGCGTGCACCAGTGGTCAGAGGCTTTGTTAAGCTTCATAATCAATGTTACCATGGTTCTCCGTCAAGGCTACTAGAAAACAATAACAGGAGACCTACAATATCACACTTTCTCATGCAACCGGCTGTGGAGAACGCAAGTAATTCGCTTACACAACACGTTCGCAACGGTTTGCATCCAGCGCTCTCGCCATTCGGATTCGCGAAAGCTGCAGAAATTGGTGAAACTGAAGTTGTTTACGTCCGTGGCAATTCACAACCCAACAGTAGCATCGAGCGGGGTCTTTTTTCGTAGAGCGCAGAGACATTGCGTCTGCTCTTGTTTTCGCCATCGTTCTGTTGAGTGAGCCAGCTAGCACTTCATAGCGGGTCGGTGACGCGTCCTACTAGCTGAGAGAAATTGGTGGGTCTTTTTATAAGCGTCCAATGCAAAAATATACACCTATTATTTAGCTAAATTGGTGTTTTGTAAGCTGCAGTCACATGGTTCTGCAGCAAACTATGCAAAAGAATCGGGCTTTGCACTACTCAAAACTGTGTCGACAGGTGGTGCTGCGTGTCCGCAAAACTTATAAAGTCATAAAGCGAGATTCAATAAAGAAGAACAAAGCCCATGCTGTGGGGGAGTTAAAAAAACAATGGAACATGCTGTGATTTAATGCGGCGATATACGTGTGGTACAAGGCTACATGAGGCTTTGGGTTTTAGGGACAAACGTGGAAAGCTGAACACGTCCGCGATAGAAGCAAGTAATAAGAGACGGTTAGATTATTGGTGGCAGAAAAGTAGTGATGAAAGACACAAATAGTGGGAAAATGAGGTCATTCTGCCTGAAGAGGCAGAGAGAGGAACATAAATTTATATTTTTCATTGTTATAGTAAGATCAATTTGATCAAAGTAGATAAGGCCTTGGGCCAACATAAAAAAATAGTTTTTTTTTTTTGCAAGCCTGGTGGCACACATGTCACCGCCTCGTTATAAAAGGGACGCTCATAGCATCCATCCATCCACTCCAGAGTCTGAAGTTCATAAATCCGAAGTGAATACTTCTAGAAGATGTGTACTACATAACAAAAATAGAACTACAATTCCTTTGGTGGCCATCTTAGCCCCTGGACTACAACGTGTTGCAAGTGTAATTTCACAAATGCAAAAGCAACAATGTCATCTGAAAAATCACAGCAAAAAGTTTTAGAGATAAGAAGAATCCTTTACAAAAAGCATGTCAGTCCGACTTCGAGTATGAGGAAAGAAACCCGATATGCAAACCAAAGACTTACATGACATCTAGGTCACTAAACAGACTCCTGTCCACTACAATCTCTAGCATTGCCCTCCCTGAAATGGAAAAAAAAAGTCCGAGTTAACATCAGTTTGGAATATTATTTATCAGCACCATACCAGGGATCGGCAAATTGTCGAGCAGACCTTCGATGCGTTTTGTAGCGCTGGTAAGTACAGCCCTGAAGCAAAGATCAAAAGCTAAGAAAAAGCAGAAACAACCCTTTGTTTCAAGCGAGCAGCGTAGAATACATACGGCGACAGCTGAGATGGAAAGTGGTAGGTGTCTTTCAACCTCGCAATGTCGTCTGACCAGCTTTGCAAAGCACTCTGGAAGGAATCCAACTGGAAAGTCTTCCAAAAGGCCTAAAGCAGCAGAATGACAAGTATCAGAATGGACAAATTTTAGTGATCTCCCTCCAACAATCGAAAGCTTTCAATAAGAATATTTATGCATACCTGAAGTTCTTCACATGGGCTCAGAGAAATGGCAGGATCGCGAAGTGGACCTCACGACTTGGGATCAGCGGCAGCAAGTGGCTCGTCGGTGAGTCCGGCTCCCATGTCGGAGCATCCATCAGAAGATTCAAAGGTAAAAATAATCTTCCACAATATCCTTCCCAGCATCATCTAAAAAGACACGATTTGTTACAGGTTACAGTTGATCACAGCGTCTACTTACGCGAAAACAAGCAAACGCACCTTTGATCAGGAACAGGCACCACCACTTCATGATCGCAGGTACCTCACACCGCAACGCACACTCGGCGTTCTGGCCACGGTTCGCATATTAGGCCAATATTCTTGCCAGATGAAGAAAAAAGAAAATGAAAGAAGAAAAAAGAAAGATGAAGAAAGAAACAATCAGCACAGCTCGTGCTGTGCTCATTGTTTACCGGCTCGTGCATGCATGCGCGTGCGCCAAGCTACGTTGCCCGCGAATTATTTGAATCAATGTGCCTAGACTACTACATCCGCTGCCTACATTTGGAGCGTCGCAAACGTAAAACCGAAACTGAATTCTTCGGACCACAGTTTAGAGGTACGATGTAGCCACAAAACACCTATATACACATAATATATGATATAGCGAATAAGCTTAACAAAACACGTTTCAAGTTTACCCTTATCAGCAAACATATCGCGACCACGGTGTTATCAACTGAGGTCAGAGAACATTTAGGTTTCGTTTATGTCGTCCATCTTAGCACGGCCAGATGACTTCGTTGCTCAAGTTCCGCGAAATTTTCAAACATACGCATTGTGCTGTGATTGGCATGATACATGTGCAAGCATTGCCAGGTTCGGCGGTAAATGTGCTTTGAGGTAACTCGGTACTATGGTTTTGTGTTCGTAATGAAAATTTCTTTTCAGGTGCACCTTTCAACAAAATGAAATGCAAGGAGATAGTGGACGCAGCTTGTGAAGAAGCAGCAATGTACAAGAAATGCGGTGTTGTATGTATCCGTATGCTTAGTTATCTTACAGTTAGCAATATATGCTAATATACGCTGTTGGACGGTGCTCGACTGGGCAAGTTGGCATTTCCCAGCTCCCCATTGTATTGCTGCAGCAACGCACGAACCACTGCGCCGAATTCTCTTTTCTCTCCAAGTTGCACTTAATATAATGAACTAGTCAAGTTCAAAAGCTTTTCTATATAACTTACGTCCTTGTCTCAAGGTCTCATTCAGGGGTACAGTGATCCAGGGCTGTCAAAGTGAGCGATGTGAAACAGCTTTTTTGGTCCACAATACACACGAGTAAACTCAACGTCACCTAGCTAGGCCCACTCGGGGATCGGTCAGGCTCGCGCAGGTTCTCTGGATATGACCAGGATTTTAGAGCTGGGGTCCTGGGCCTTACTAAGCCATATCGTCATTTCCTCTTAGTGGAAAGGAGAAAGAGGTGCAGGACATGCTCAAAGCTCGCATAACTATCACTAGTGCCACCACACTAGGATGTCCTAGCTTGGGAACCGTCCTGGGTATACCCTGTATCAGACCACATTCCTTTACCTAAATTCTTGACAAAGTCTAAACGTTAAAGCACTTGCCACTTTTATTTTTTCTGAACAAGCTGCAAAATATTAAAGGATAAATTGTGAGCACAGTAATTGTTCATTCCTTGAAGAAGCTGCACACTACTATACAGTACTTGTGTAGCACAAGTTTTACTTTAGTTGCATTTAACTCTGCATAACCATCATAATTCCCATGATATCGTTGATGATTTGATAGGTGGGGTTTAACATCCCAAAACCACCATATGATTATGAGAGACGCCGTAGTGGAGGCCTCTGGAAATTTCGACCACCTGGGGTTCTTTTAACATGCACCCAAATCTGAGCACACGGGTCTACAGCATTTTCGCCTCCATCGAAAATGCAGTCGCCGAAGCCGCGATTCGATCCCGCAACCTGCGGGTCAGCAGCCGAGTACCTTAGCCACTAGACCACTGTGGCGGGGCATGATATCGTTGCCATGTTGACGAAATGGAAACGGTTGCATGAAATTTTTGTGCACTTTTGAAATGCATTATAAATGTTTCTTGTGAGGAACTATGCTTGTGTACTTTGAAATGAAGAATTATCATCGATATAAGTGCATCTTTCTTATCTTTAACAAGTTGTTTTCTCATATGAGTCCTGCTTGGTAATGTCACTATTTATAATTAAGCACGATCCAAGGTTCAGGCCACTCATGTATCAAATCTTTTTATATGGTTCTGTGACCAAATATTTATATCTGTATAAGTGATCAGTTGCCAATTGTCTACTGTACTTGAATTATATCTTGAGCTCTGGAATAAATGGTAACTATAGTCTCAGAATAGGTGAGAAATGGTAGTGAGGCAATTGTGAGAGTAATACCAAATAAAACCCAGCTATTTTATCCCTCCAGCACTCATTAAAACATGCTATTACAGCGGTTCACCTTTCAGCATATAAAATGGTCATTCACCCATTGGTTAAATATGAAACCATTTTACTAACTTTCATTAATACACTACGCCCCGCCGTGGTGGTCTAGTAGCTAAGGTACTCGGCTGCTGACCCGCAGGTCGTGGGTTCAAATCCCGGCTGCGGCAGCTGCATTTTTGATGGAGGCGGAAATGTCGTAGGCCCGTGTGCTCAGATTTGGGTGCACGTTAAAGAACCCCAGGTGGTCGAAATTTCCAGAGCCTTCCACTACGGCATCTCAAAAGTTAGATGAATTATGGAGCCTTCTCTTGCATTTTTTGTAGTGTATTAATGATTGATTGATTTGTAGGGTTTAACGTCCCAAAACCACCATATGATTATGAGAGACGCCGTAGTGGAGGGCTCCGGAAATTTCGACCACCTGGGGTTCTTTAACAGTGCACCCAATTCTGAGTACACGGGCCTACAACATTTCCGCCTCCATCGGAAAATTCATCTAACTTTTACGCGTGGACTTCAGCCCGTGAGTTGCTAGCATAAAGTGGCTCGCAGCCTCTTACACACCATGGTAGCATAGTATCTAAAGTAGGGGCCTCAAACTCGCCTCACAGAGCGGGTCGAAGTCAAGCAATTAACTCCCACAAAGCGGGGGCAGTGAAGAAGGTAGGAGCCGGGGGGGGGGGGGGGAAGGGTGAAAGAAAAAAAAAGCCAGCACAATCGCTCTGTCTTTTGTGTCCTCTCAAGTCTCTCTTTCTCTTGTGTTCTTTTGTGTGTTTGCTAGTAATATGGGAGCATTCAGTCATTACCAACAAATGCAGTTAATTGCCTTAAAAAACAATTTGCCAGGAAATGCTGTCATTTGAAAGAAAACTTTCCTGTGTGTGCAGGTCATTTCTCAAGAATATTTGGTGTCAGATTTAAAAACTTGTCTATGCCGATCTCCAAAATTACTCAAATCTGGACGCTGATTGTGAAATATAACTTTTGTTTCATGGTTATGCGTCACAACATGGTAAGCTCATGGGATGACCCATGGAAACAATACCTTAAACCAGTTATGCCTGTGTAGCCCACAAATGTACTTAATAAGAAATTTTTAAAAATGTGAGGTTTAAGACAGTATTGTGTGGGCTGTCGGCCGCAACCGAGAGTTTGAGACCCCTGATCTAAAGCGCTGCACTGCAAAGCTCAAGGATGTAGGTTCAATTCCTGGTCATGGCAGCTGTATTTAATGGGGGCAAAATACAAGAACATGCATGTTCTTAAGTTTAGATACAAGTTAAACAACCCCAGGTGGCAAAACTCCACAATTCTTTTTTGGCCCCTTAATTTTTTATTATTTTGTGCTAACTCTTGTGAAAACAAAATATTGTGTCACCCTATCTAATTTAAATAGCATGAATGAGTTTTAGAGTGCATACCTTTACATAAAATTGTTGAAAAAGTTTAAATGTCAAGTTATTTGCCACTTTTATTTGCCTCGAGACAAGTTGCAATATATTAAAGGAAAGATCATACGTGCAATAATTGTTCCATTCCCTGAAGATGCTGTACTATGTACTATTCAGTGTGTTGTGCGAGTTTTACTACACTACACACTATTGGATTAGTCAGTAAGGCAATGCTATAATATTGCATTGCCGTGTACTTTCCAATTTAAAACCACCTAGGTCACTTGATTTCAGTTTGTGTTGATATAACTTCTCTGCTTTTTTTTTCTTCTCTCCCTTTTTGAATCCACTCAGCTATGATTTCAAGATTGAACAAATAAACATAATGTTGGTGAGTGGATTTACAGGCAGTTCATTAATTCAATGATTGGTGCCCCTCACCAGGCTCAACTGAAAATTTTGGTTACTCGCTGAAAGTTGTAAGGCACTTTCGAAGAGCCCTCCTACTGAAATACTTTTTCAAATCAGTTAACTACTAGAGTAATGTTGCCATGCTGCATGGAGATGAGAACCACATTGCCTTGGGTGTAATCCACTAGTAGCACACTTTCCTTATGGTCTTCCATGTGCCGAAGCCAAACCAACATGTCATGTTTGTGTCTTGGGTCCCAGTGCAGTGAATTTTTGTGACGAGCAGTTTTCTTTTTTATTCTCTTCATGGTGCATTTTGCTGTGCATTTTGCATTGATTACCAAACTGAAGTTGCATGACATAATTAGTGGCATCCAAAGCAGTGCATGTGTGCATGCTTTTGACTCTCACTCGAAGCACAACTGTCTTGACAAAGGCACACACTTTCCTGTAATAAATTTCAACTGTTTTCACACTATGGAGCCGTTTGATATGTTGCAGAACCAATTGTCACCACCTGATTCTCACGTTCATGATAATGAGCCACACTTATTGAATTTAAAGCCCCTGAAACTTTATGAAGTAGCGACATACTTTGAAGAAAGTGCTCCTCCCTTTTCTTTCTCCTTCGCCTTCTCTCATACTGATGCCGCTTTGCAATTAGCCAACTGGCGTCATGTAAGAGTGCGCAGAGAGTTCATTCTTTTACAGTTGCTCTCGATCACCATCTTTAATCTGTATCTCTGCATACTGTCGAAGAGTGCATGTATCAAGTGCGTATGAAGTTGCTGCTTGATGAGCATTTTGTTGCAACGTAAGTTAGGTTACAAATGCTACGGCGCTTTTCGTCATGGGTAGGTGCTGTGCTTGCGAAGGCCGACACAGATTTAGTGATGGCAAAAATATTCTCACGACACCGTCCTGTAGGTGCGACGAGTCACGAAGAAACACATGTGGCGGCACCAAATTGGAATGTAGAAATTTTAGAGCAAAATCTTCTATCTACGAGTATCTGAATGTAATTCATTTTGTGGTTTGGACAATTGGCTGCATGAAATTACATATTAAAGGCTCAATTTCAATAAGCATGTCATGCCTCTTGGATGCTCTAACACAGCATCCGCAGGATCTTCACCTTGTATCAACCCATTGAAGAAGAACAGCTATTTGAGCTAGTTGGTTGGAATTCATAGTAATAAGGGCTGCAGCGCGAGCACGAAGGTGCTAGAAGAAACGTGAAATAAAAGGCGAGGCAAGGAAAGCAAAGAGGACAACACGAGAGCTGACTACCAACTGAATTTTATTATTCGCAGCACACATGATAATATATACAACAGGCAATCTATTAACAGCAAACGTGAGCAGCGTGACATATTCTGGGGAAGGGTAGGATAAAAAGAAGGTACTGTAAAGAGGTACTGTAAAGGTACTGTATCATCATTCCTTCATTATAGTACAATGATAAAATGGCTAACCCTTATCTAAAAGCGCGAACTCTTTGTCATGCAAGGCCACCGAAGGTTGGCTCACGCATCCGTCACCATGTTTTCTAATGAAATACGCCTCAGCTATTTCACGAGTTACTTTGTCCATGTGGCGTACCAGCACACTCACGCCCGGAAATCGCTAGGAATGTGTCAGCCCGTGTGCCTGACGATGAACGTTGTCGGTGCACTTCGGAATGCATCGACGTCCTCGTGAGAGGTGGGTGTCGATCAAGATCGGTCATGTGTCTAAAACCACTCTCTATGTTCTTGTCCACGAATAATTTGCGTGTTCTTCAAGCGGATAAGGAAGGTGTTTTCATTATTCTACACAATGATGTCTTTTTGCAAGAAGCCTCACAGGCTGTTGTGAAACACTTTGTACAAGTTACAGCAAAAAGTTCAAATATCAAGAAAGATGCTATAGCTCGCCTCCAGGCTGTGAATTTGCTAGGTTTAGCCTGCAGCGTAAAGAAAGCTACTTCCCAAGAATTGTCTATTTTTTTCACTAATAAGAGTCATAAACCGGAACAACCTTTGCGTGCAATTGTTTCTGAAAGAGGAACCTGGCAGAAGCTCTTGGGATGTTATTTGCAGAAACATCTATCTAGTTTAGTTTTGGATGACCCCTACCGCGTCCGTAATTCGCAAGAAGTTGTCAGATACCTCGAGGATCATAATCCAATTGGGTGCCCTGTTTTAAGTATCGACGTTGTAGATTTGTATTACTCCATTCCTCAGAGCACATTGTTAAATTATGTTAGAGATTGTATAACCAAGGATAATCATGAAGATCTGTTCAGTAATGATAGTGGCATCAGTGTTAATTCTTTCATGAAACTTTTGCTTTTCTACTTGAACTCCACTTTTGTTTCGTGGGGAGGGTCTCTTTATAGACAATGTAAGGGAGTTTGCATTGGGTCAAGGGTCGCCCCTGTTCTGAGTGACATTTTTCTTGCCAAGATTGACACCATCCTCAATAAAAAAACTCGTAGGTTTGGTGCAAACCGCTTTCAGATATGTGGACGACTATTTAATTTTTCTGCTGCCTTCCGTAACGAATAGGAAAAACCCGGCTGAACTTGTATTGAGTGCTTTTAAAACACATGGAGGTGGGCTAGACTTCACTTGCGAAGTTCCCCAACAGAGATCACTGAGGTTCTTAGATATTAATATTACATTGTTTCCAAATCACGTATGCTGGGAATGCCAACCACGAAGTGTTAAACCCTTGTTAAACTATGCTTCCTGCCACACAAAACTGGTCAAGAGAGCTATTGCTTCGTCGGCCGTAAGTGCTGGCTTATCTTAGTCATGCCTACACAAGATGACCGATAGTGTAACAATGCAGATTAACAGACTTCTGTCAGCGGGATTTCCAAAATCTGTAATTCCTTCAGTGTGCGAAGCTTTGTTGCAGAAAATCTAACAAAAACAAGAAAAAGCAGGAGGAAATAAGGAGCGAAAAAGAGTTGCAGTCATCCCATACTTCCACAATATATCTCATCGTTTGAAGAAGGTAGGCTCAAGATATGGTGTGGATGTAGTTTTATCAGCCCCGTGCAAACTAAGCCAGATTTGCAGGATGATGGATGAGCGCCTCAGTGGAATCACAAAAAAAAGTTGGACATGCGCCGTAAAACACATAAATAAATTTGTAGATTGCACAGTTGGGTGTTGCTTACATGCTTCCTTTAACGTGCGGTCGTTGTTATATAGGCCAAACTGGGCGGTGCATTAATAAAAGGTTAGGAGAACATATGAATGATGTATGCAAAGGAATTAGTTCAAACCTCGTTCTGCACTGTAAAAGCTGCGGGTGCCAGCCTCGATTTTCGGGCGCGAGTGTGCTGGTACACCACGTGCACAAAGTAACTCGTGAAATAGTTGAGGCGTATTTTATCAGAAAATATGGTGACGGATGCGTCAGCCAACCTTCGGTTTCCTTGCATGACAAAGAGTTCGCGCTTTTAGATAAGGGTTAGTCATTTTATTATTGTACCTTCTTTTTATCATACCCTTCCCCAGAATATGTCACGTTGCTCACGTTTGCTGTTAATAGATTGCCTGTTGTATATATTATCATGTGTGCTGCGAATAATAAAATTCAGTTGGTAGTCAGCTCTCGTGTTGTCCTCTTTGCTTTCCTTGCCTCGCCTTTCGTTTCACGTTTCTTCTAGCACCTTCGTGCTCGCACTGCAGCCCTTATTACCATTGTATCAACCCACCGTCTGCTTTTGTGCACTTAACATTACACACACCAAATGATTCATAGCTGTGATCTTATTTCGTGGGACCTAACAATAAAAAAAGATTAGGCTGCTTGCAATGATGGTGCAAGGCTGGACTAACAACGGAGCTGATGGCCACCCTATTACCAATTTAGGTGGGGCACAGACAGAATTAGCTTATTAAGCCACTATGACTTCACCAAACATGAATTAACTGGCACAAACACATTGAGCACGGATTAATCAATCGTGACTCAATCTGTGTTTGTCTTAGTTTAGATTAAACTAATCTGTGTTAGTTTATCGACACACATATAACTAGCTTGATCACGGAGAACCAAAATTTAGTTTCAATTTTCGGATTAAATCATAATAGCTTAACCCGGTCTGGCTTTACCTTCAATCTGCCTTGGTGAACTTAATTTAATCTGGATTACTTTAGTAATTATTCTGAATTAACCAATATTAGTTAGAAATAACCAGGGTTTGTTTCATTAGACTTGGTCATGCTTTACTTGGCTGAACTGAGCTCAACTTGGCTATGCTCAACAGCTTAAATAGATGACCTAATTAGACTTGACTTAGTCTTAGCTTAATTAGACTTGGTCATGTGTCATAAAGTTCCCCGACACCAGCTCTCATGCTGTCTTCTCCTGTGTCTTTCATCTTTTGTGCGGTTTCAAAATGAATCCAGAACAACTATGACAAAGTGGCAGCAGGAGTGCGCCAGCACGTGTACAACAATGAGAAAGTTTGACCACTAAATGAAGACGCCTTACTGCACATGCTGGCATGGCATGCAAAAAAAAGTAAAAAAAAGAACAGGTTTTTTTGTTGGCCAGAAAGATGGAGCCAGAAGTTGGAACGATGAAGACGCGTTGGTCTGGTCGGATGAAAACGTTCGGGAAGCCAACATTGTTGAAGGCACCCGGTCAATCATCAACGCCGGAGTGACTTTGTAATATAGGTCAGCGAACTCACTCACGAGTCAACTCACTCAGACTCAGATCAAGCCGTGAGTCTGAGTGAGTCCGGTTGAAGGAAATTTTGGTGAGGGCGAGTGCGAGTGAGCTCGGCTCAGAAAAATTTTGGCGAGTCTGAGACAGAGTGAATCCAAAGCGCAAAATATATTTCTTGGGTGAGTTTGAGTGAGTTCCACTTTCTCGGGCCGACCTAATGTCCTATCTAGTCATCGTCAGCATTACTATCAATCTTACCTGAATTCACGTTTATTATCCCATCTATTCACATGTATTCTAAAGCATTGTTATTCATACACCATTTCAATATTGATTAATTAGAGGCATGAATTACGTAGAAAGGAGCCTTGTCCCCCATCAATTCTTGTAGAGAATAACTTGATTATTATATCTTATGCTGTCATCTTTCGAAGAAAAATGACCTTATGGGTTTGTAAGCACTCAGAACTCGTTTTTGAAGATACTATGTCAAACGGCACCAAAAAGAGTAGTGACTACATGAGATATTGGTGTTAAAGAGTACTGACACCATAGTCGGAGAAGCTAATTCTAGGCTGACGGAGTCGACTCACTCAGACCGAGATCGACCCATGAGTCTGAGTCTGAGTGATTGCTCGTAAGTAATGTCTTGGTGACCTGGCTGAACAAAATTTTCGTGAGTGTGAGTCCCAGTGACTCTGGCTCAGGAAACTTTTCGTCAGTTTGAGTCCAAGTGAGTCCAAAGCTCAAAATATATTTTATGAGTGAGTCTGAGTAAGCTCCACATGTTTTGCCGACCTATGCGTTGCATAGACATGTCTTCTACCGCGGTGCCCTACGGATGTAGATTAATATGCGAGAACTCACCTGGCCCTTCTTGCCCAATAAGACCTGCAACACAGCCACGACCATTGCTTTAAGTCCCAACGTGTGAGAATGTAATTTTTTTGGACCGACTTTTAAAGAGACTTTTCCTCATCATAGTGCTTGCTGTGCTTTTTATTTGTGTCGTTTATGTATTTTTATGTCAGAAACAGGTTGTTGTGCTGTGCCAGTTGTCTCCTCTTCCTTGCTGCCCTAGAAAATGTTTATGACACCTTTCTATAAGCCTTCTCCCTAACCCTGCCTCGTAACATCATGCTTGACTTGTTGCATTGCAAGCACTTGGCAATGTTTGATGCCATATAGGTATAGGTCAATCATGATAATGATAGTTTTTATTCACTCTGCACAGCTTAACAGGTCTGCTGTAATAAATGAACAGACTAATTTGCAGGAATGGAGGGCCACACGCAAGAATTTAATTTCGATACTTTATAAATTCGGAACAGTTCTTTTGATAAAACAATTAGCTCAGTCTTGTGCCTATTTTTAATGAAAAGTCACTTTTTACAGGTAATGGGGCTTTTTTCCTCTTCCTAGCTGACAGTAAGAAAGTGTATTATGTACCGTGCACAAAGTGCGGGTCCGACAAAGATTAGTGGCTTAGTCATTGGTAGACAGCAGCATTACAAGCTTTCGAGACGCACGTGCCATTTCACGGCATGTACTGCTGTTGATGTTGATGCATTGAACTCATAATTGCACCGCTGCCCATCATCTGTGTCTGTGTGTGCTTAGTACAAACATTGGCAAGTGAGTGGTACTGAAGCTGTAACACCTTTCTGAATCTTCGGAGTGGCTGTCGCTCATACTTCGTGTGTCACAATGATACACCCTGCAAATTTACCGAGGAAGATCAACAAGTATTAACTAGGTATCAGAGAATTGGCTGCAAACCATGACGTTTGCACTTAGTCTCAAACACGTTACTTACAATGATTCGCTACAGGACCAGGTGATATGGGCTCATTACAGAAGTTCCGTACTGAACTGTAGCGTTCATACTGTCGCCTCCGATATGTGGGCAGCCATTACACTAGTTTAGACACTTTCATTGTGGAATAGTTATCACCACAGTATAACAGTGCAGTTAATATGTTCGTGTAACCCATCAAAGAGAATCATTGTGCTACAAATAAAGGCACTTCTAGCCAGACTGCAAGCATGAAAGATTGTAGTGCACTGCCTGACCCAGCGTGCATTAACTCTACTAAATGCCCTGTGCTTTATGCTGGAGCAGCAGTGCAGGTGGCGCTACGGTCAAAGAGGAGGCACGAAAGGGACAAGAAACGAGGAAGAGTGTGTCGCTACTTTACAAAGTTCCAAAGCTTGCAAAGCACAAAGCTATTCAGGTACCCTTTAATGTGCTGTACATGTCTGCTTTGAACACAATGCATTCACGTAGGTTTTTTAAATATATATAGGAGCAAGGATAATGAAATCCATATTGTACATGATGACATTTGTGCATAAATGATTGTGCAAACAGTATCTTACCTTGCTGCCATTTTTCGAAAAAAAAAAAAATTATTTCTCAAACCTATGGCCACTTTAACTTAGTTGAAACTTATTATTATTTAAAACCCAAATTTTATGCCAAAAACCACCAGTGATGTACAAGATTCTATTGTACGTTCCTTCCTCAGGATGGTGTCCTCGTTGAAAACATGTTCGACCTTCCTTATGTGAAACCGAATCAGGCTGGACCAGAATTGAATGCCTTCATGGCACGTGTCTGCACAGAAGTAAAAAAGATACTTCCTTCTTTGCCCTGTGGTGTACAAATACTTGCTGGAAATAATAAAAGTGCATTAGCTGTTGCAGCAGCCACAGGTAATTCCTATTCTTTGCATACTTGCTGGAACCAATATTGTGACTTCATAATATATTCAGTGATTGTGTTCTGCCTGAATTGTTTCCACTGTTATTGCATACTTATTTAGTGATACTAGTATATCTATTTAATAAAATTTCTTTTAATCTGTCCAAACGATTTCCTCGTGGCTTGAAAAATACCATCTAACCATCCCATAAACAAGCAACCTTGTTTTCCTGTACGTTTCGTTTTGGCTACCATTACCTTACGACATATTGACCCAATAGACCATACACCATGAAAAAAAAAATCTCTTTATAAAGTTAGCTATGCAGATGTGAAGCTGTCATTAAAGCTGTGCAGACAAAATTTTGTTGGTGAGAGAGCTTTTCAGGTTGATTTGTGTGAACAGACATAATCTCATTATTATTGGCAAACGTAGCTTAGAACATAAAATCATTCTTAAAGTGTGTGTCATGCAACTGAGTGCACAAAGCAGAACTTGGCTTGAATGTAAGCAAAAATAATTTGCATCGGGAGCCTCAACTTGTAAAATACGTAGTCTTTGTCATCTCTGGATGGCAAAGACATCAAAAGTCCGGAGATTCGCAGCGTAGGTGGTCGCATGTCTTCAACGAAGAGCATCAATCTTAATCTACACCCATGTGGCCAGTTGTGTTTACATTCCAGCAGCTCTGGACCCACTTTTCTTGGTGCTCCCTGAAACTGAAAGTGAGACTGGGCTCTATGAAAACGACTGGAAATAACCATCAAGCGCTAGAGAAATGCAAGCAGCCATCATAAGTGGGTCATAAATTACTTACTGCAAGAGAAAAACTGTGAACTATTCCACTCTGTTAACGTTGATGGTAACATGGCAGAGGCCAGTTTGATATCAAAGGCCAGGTTGTGAGTGGACTCCATAGTGTTCAACCCACTGTGCAGAGTCTGCCACTGCATGCTGATGACCACGCTGCAAGAAATGCACATTAAGCGATGTTTGTTTACCACGCCCACCTATAAGACCACATTATTTGCTTCACGATGTGTGCCAATTTTTTTTTTCTTTATGAGTAGGCTTTGATAAAACACACAATCTGTGCAAGCCAGCTTTCTCATAAATCACGCCAACGCCGATTCTTTTAAGTTAGCTTCACTTCTGAAGATAGATGCATTGCTGAAAAGACATAATCTTGCAGATACAATATGAACATTTTTATTTGAACATGATGGCCCTAGAACCTTTTCTTAGAGTACGAAAAGGAGTGAAGCATGGTGGTTTGGTAATGATGCACATGGCATCTTCTTTCCACATTTAAGCATAAGCGATTCAGTCTTTCACCATCATGTTGTCAGAATAAGAAGCATAATAAACACAACAGCACACCACGTACAAGAATTCGAATTCTCTTGGTTCTAGTTTTATCAGTAAGATAATGTATCTCAAGAAGGGAAAGAATACAATCTCTGTTTGTAACACGAAGCCACAAGAAAAACCTTGAGGCTTCGTGCTACAAATGGGTGGTTGTCTTCTCCCCTTTCTAAACCCTACTACCACCTTGTGGGTTTCCACAAAACTCGTTTGCAATAAGGTATCTTGGTTTATAAATATGCCTTCCTCAGTTAGCTGGCCCTGTCCTAGGGAACAGCAAACCAGGACACTACAATGTTAAGGTGTAAAATGCATGCAGACCTTATTGAACTGACCTCAACAACCTTGATAATCGCTTATTGCGATAGGATGTGTCTTTTCCTGTAAGAACTCGAGCATTCATACCAAGACCCTCTTTCATCTAAAACATTTGGCAAAGCATGTTACTTTGTTTCTGCATATGGGTAAACAGGCCTTGTACTCGGAGGTTTAGGTCACATATGATTATTATAAACCCTCCATAGGTTCCAAGGAATGGCAAGCATTGGGATGTTAAAACAACAACAAAGCCATTACGAGGGTTCCGTGAGAAAGAAAAAGATAAGGGAAAAAGCTGGGAGGTTATTCAAGGTTCTACCACGTTGACTACCCTTCATGTGAGAAAGGGAAAAGCTGTGTTAAAATCACTGACTAAATAAGGAGCTCATTTCCGTGTCAAACACATGGCTGCCAAATGTGCAGATTAGCAAGAAATCTATGAATGATACGCACACCTCTGGCAAATGAGTTTTGTGGAAGTAAGCAAGATGAATGCCTGCCATTGGATCATGTAATCAGCAGCTATGGCTTGTGTACTGAAGTGCAACCAGGTGTTACTCATGGAAACTGTCCCAGCAATGGACATTAGTTTGTTTATAGTACAAGCAGCTTCCACAGTAAGCGGTTAAAGGTGGACTTTTGCTCGAATGGATGGGATCGTGTAGATGTAATGTTTTCCTCGTATTGTTTAAGGCCACAGTCGGGGAGAAGTGCAGCTGGGCTTAGCTTGGTGTAGCTAGGCTTATCCGTCTTTGACAGTACCGTACCAACTCCAAGAGTGGACCGATTGATCAGTATTAGGATCTAAGTGAAATGCAGTCATAGACAGTTTGAAATTGGTCTTGAGCTAATACCAACAATATTGTATTTGAGCAAGTCTCTGGAATGGGCGGGACGTTTAAGTGTCATAGAAAGGTGAATATATAAAGGATAGTAATTACTTGCCCAAAAGACATCTTTAAGTCACCATTATGCAAATGATAAGTCAAGTAATCACTTGCAATATGAACAATGGGGGACACAAGCAAGGGTGGTCACCACAGCTGATCCTTGAAAAAATATCAGTGAGCAAAGGTTTCTGATTTCACGTGCTTCTCAGGACCTTCCTGTGGATGCTGTGCATTTTTTATTTATCCGTGGCGTATTCAAACAATATGCATTATTCTAAAAGCAACTTTAAAGGGACACTAAAGGCAACTATTAAGTCGACATTGATTGTTGAAATTGCGGTCCAGAAACCTCGTAGTGTTACTTCTGTGCTGAGGAAAGGTCTATTTTGAAATAAAATCACGTTTTAGTGGTCCGCATTAGGTTAGCGCACTTCAAATTACCCGCCTCAAGAAGCAGACCGACCGGACCGACTCGCTGCTATCTATATTTGCACGCGTCGGATTTCCTTCTGAAATCTAATGCGACAATAGTGTCTTCACCATCTGGCTTACCTCTACCTTTATGGATAAATGTGGAATAAAAGTGGTGCACAGCTCGATCCATCACCACAATCTCATGCGGTAGAGCGTACGCATTCCGTTCTGAAACGGATACTGAGAGCTCTTTGCTACGTCCACAAATGCGACTGGGAAGCATGTATTTCTCCCGCTATATGTTCGCTTTGAGATCAGCTCCTCCTGAGAGCACTGGCTTTAGCCCTGCAGAGCTTGTGTATGGTAGGAGTTTGAGAACACTATTGCGAATGCTACGCGAGTCCTGGGAGGCCCGGCTTTACTGCGCTAGTAGCAGCACACCGAAAGAAGCGAGAACCACAGTGGCAGTGACGGCCATTGATCAATTTCTCACCATTGGCTTCGAGATTGCAAACGTTTTGTATTCAACTGCGCCCCTCTAGATGGCACTACCTGTCCAGTGTAACTACGCGAAAATTGAATTTTTGAATCACTCGTGCCATTCCCCATAGTAACGCCTGGTGGTTCTTTTTTCCATGAATTAAACAGAAATGAACAGGCAGCATTTTATTGAGTCTCTTGACGCACGGAAGATTCTTTATTTAGTGCAGCTAGATTCATTACTAGTGAATAATTGTAGGCGGTGTGTCTTATGTCATCGCGATCATTTTGAGAATATCCTACTGTAGTGCATGTGTTCTTGTGCATTTACCTTAATTTTTCGGTAAGTAGGGCACTGTTGTTTATAATATTGTCGTTTTAGATGTTGTCATACATTGAGCTTTCACTCTGACGTAAATTGTTATTTGACTTTACTGATCCCTTCAAGTGTAAGAATTTAAATAAGATGACATTTGGATAAAAAATTAAATACTAAAGATTTTCTTTTTCTCTAAACGAAGCAAAGAGGATCATTCAAAATCTGTTTGATAAAAGAAAAAGGTTTTTATTATATGATATACTTAAGCATGTAATGCGAAATGCCAGTGAATGCCCAGTAAACCTATGAGCTAGTAAATAAAAAACATCCGATTTGTTATAGTATCGTAGATCATGACAGTGACTGTAGTAAAACAAGGCAACATCATGTCGCCATAATACTCATGGTGTGGTGTTGTTTACTTAGGTTTCAAATGCTTTCCATTACCAGAAAAGGAGGCGATTATGTCTTATAAGGTTAATATCGGTCTTGAGATGTTCATCCACGGAACATGACCTACATAGACTGGTGTTGTTCTCCTCTTTGTCCCATGATGCAGATGAATGTCTGGAGATGTGGAGGTCAAACAGGAAACTGCAGATATCTCAGAAGTGGTACTAGCCTTGAGGCCTTTGCTAAGATTGCTTTAGCATTGGCCAGTTCCAATTCTGCAACATAATTCCTAAACTACACAAGAAGTTTTTCAGCTTTAGTTTGTGCTGAATAATGATAATCACAGTTTCTGGTGTTCGCGAATCCTGATAATGTGTAACTTGCGAAATGGCTTGGCACATGAGGTAAAACAAGGAGTTCACAGTAACATGGTCATCGGCAGGATTTTTCCCTAGGGGGGAGGGGCGTGCAAACCAGTGTTGCATTGCGACTGCTAGAGGGGCACCGCTGTAGCTTGGGTTAGGGCAAGTGCTGGCGAGGCTTGAAGGGGGCTTGTGCCCCTTTCGCACCCCCTGCCAACCCCTATGCACAGTAATGCCCCACCGTTTAATTAAAACATTGTTTGTATGAATAACTCAAATTATTTTTTTTGTGGACACCATAGTTTTGAGATACTTCCTGACTACAGAGTAGAGAGGCCCTGTCAATAGTCTAGAAAGCATGCACGTTGACTGTCAGTCTACTACTGCAATGACTACAAAAAGGCTTTTATGCTCATGGGCTCTGTGGAGAGCAAAGATGATTTCTAGGACAAACACTGGGCTTTCCACTTTTTTTCATCTGTTTGATAACATCTTGTGCATAGAAGTCGATGGTTAAAGAACAGCTCCTTCTCCTGCTTACTAGCTTCATCAGCAAGCAGTGGCCATCCCTACAAAAGTTATCTTCCCTTTTTTTTAACTTTATTTGAATGAAAGTCTTTTCAGTGGCAATTCTGTTAGCACGAAACACATTGAAATTATCTCTAATGGTCCACTGAACACTTGCACTGTGATTTTTTAGAGATAGCAACAACCAAGCTAATTCACTGGAGTTGTTCACACTTTATTTGCTCATATTTAATCAAATCTCAATTTCATTTTGTAGTGTGATGCACAGTACAAATTTAATTATGGAGCTTTGTATCAGTAAATCTCTAAAATATTTTCTGAAAAGATTTGTTATTATTGACTAATCAGTTTATGGGTGGCATGGATTGGTAATCAACGCTCCCAGCAAGACGAGTGCTTCTACGTTTAAAAAAATGAAGATATTGAATGAAGCAGCTTTATACATGAAGGTTGTGTAGCCATATGTGTTTCAAGAGTTCATACACCAAACTTTGTGCAGGTTTCCAGTTCGTGCGTGCTGAAGGCTTCGTGTTTGGGCACGTGGCAGATGAAGGTATTATGGAATCCTGTGCCAGCGAGCTATTGCGCTACAGACGCATTATTGATGCTGAGGACATTCTTGTGTTTGCAGACATAAAGAAAAAACACTGGTCAGCATCAGGGAGTTCTTTCAACATTATATTGTTGTTCCAGTCATGCCAATTGTGTTTCATTAATGTCTACATGTAATTTCACCCTGGCCAGTTCACATGCAATCACAAGTGATGTCAGCATCCTGGAAACAATGAAAGCAGCCGAATTCTTTCAGTGTGATGGCATCATCCTGACTGGAGGTGCAACAGGCCTTCCACCCAGTACCACTGAACTGCAAGGTGTGTGCTTGTGAAATGTTGCTTCTGTTAAAAATGTCATGAGCCAGCATAGTTTTGTTTTTTGATTCAGTGCAAGCACATATGGCTGCCAGTAATCATTTACAGACAGAAGCCACTGTAATGTTGCATTCTTGCATTACAGCCCTTCATAATTGCAAGCATTACATGTGACCGAGTGTATTACTGCTTTTCAGAGGTGAAAGCAGAAGCAACAGTGCCCGTGCTACTTGGATCAGGAATCACAGAGAACAACGTTCAAGATTTTTTTGCAGCAGATGCAGTGATTGTAGGATCATCATTTAAACATGGAAATATCTGGAGCGGTGCACTGAATGCTCTACAGGTGGAGGCATTCATGGAAAAGGTGCACACACTACGTCAAACATTATCATATTCATCTTGACTCTGTAATACAAAAGAAATAATGACAGCTCTGAACTGGAATGTGGCATAAATAAATGTTTTAATTTTTTCCTTCTTCCCATCTTTGTCAGGATGCATCTAAACATAGTAATAGACTATTGGAATATTGGCCATCAATTTATAAATAACAGTTATACAGTTTTCATGGTTAACTTTTGTTTCATCGTACAATATTTTTATCTCTGGTATTTTCAATATAAAGTGCAGAAACTATAAAACATTTTTCGTTGGATATATTCCGGTGACACAGTGCCACACAACATATGCATAGTGAGTACACTTTCCAAGTGCATCAGTAGTGAAGCATGATCAATCTGTACAAGTATGTTTTCTTGTTGTACATCTGCTGCACCTATGTGCTCAACAAATAGTGGATAGCACGATACATGAATTCATAAAAGAGCTTTCAATAATATGCATCCATTGAAAGCTGGACAGAAAGGCTTAGCCAAGTAACTTGTCAAAGACCGTAAACTGCACGGGTACAAAAATGCCATAGAAGTAACCACGAAATGCACAAATCAAAGTTAGTGCTGTTTGTAAGCTTTACGCTTTTGTAGGACACTGTCACGTACTACATACTGTCATTCACAAAGCACAAATCTAAGGTGCTGAAAAACCGACATATTAACAGTTGAGCCTTCCATCCCAGCAGTTTGTAAATATATTTTTCTTTAGATCTGCATAGGTAAAGTTCAGCTCAGAAAGAAATTACTGCTGGCATTCTATAATTAATTACACAGAAAAGTATAGAATTTACTATGAGTTTGAGGCAATTTTTTTTAAATTTTTAAAAAGGCTGTGATACTGCTCGGAATTAAGGAGTACTGCTGTAAAGCAGATGTAATAACATGTCACAAAAATCACATGCAAGATACATATAGCATTTGGATCACCACCAATAAAATAAGTGGGAGTGAAACAACATTGCGCTTTGCCCAGTGTACCAGAAGGCAACAGAAAAAAAGAAGAGTGCCTAAAAAGTATGGCTAATTCAGTATATGCCTGCTACTCATTTTACCTTTGCAGTATCCATCTAGGTAAAAAAAAGTATTGAAAGCTTTACAGACATGCAAGCCAGGGATTAATTTTTTCAAGGTGCTTGAGTCGTCGGTATTGATGAAATCAGCAAGGCATACATTGCATAAAACTTGCTTTACACTCAGATTTTGCTGCAAGCATTTTCTAGCAGTTTTACTTGTATTTTGAAACAGTTCATTGAGTTGCTATTGCTTGAATAAAGCAATATTGTTTTAAGACATGCACACATTTGCACGCACTCCCCCTTCCTGTACAGCTCCTCCCCTTACCTCTTTTTTTTTCTGCATTTACATTTTCCTTGATGGGCCTGCTTTTACACACTGTAGGGCCATGGACTAGACTTTTGGTTTCATCCTGCTGTATTCTTTTGTTCATATATACAACTAAGGATTGCTGAGCTCACACATGCAGTCACAAGTCACACATCTCTCAGCAGGAAGATGTCATTATAGTATGCTATACCATTCATAATATTTAGGAAAGGTGGTTGGACTGAGTTAGGGGTTGAAACATCCAGCTTTTCACCGGTGGATATGCAGCCTAGGTTGCTGATATTGCTAGGCTATGTCTGGCAAGCCTAATCCCACGTATGCAAATACAACAATTCTAACAACTTTCTACCACAGGTACTGCTACAATTATTAGGTGCTTAAAATGAGGCAGCATTTGCCAACAGCTGTAGATTTTTTTCTCATGGACTCAGCTTCGAATGCATGTAGAGGGATCACAAATACTCTACAGTGTTAGCGATAAAGTGTTATGAAAATGAGCATTTTAATGCAGCATGTTGTATTAATACAAGCACCAGGTGTAGATAACTCTTTTGGCTAAGCCATTGGCTCTTCCACATTTGGACAGAGATAGTATCTTGTGGCGAATGTATTTTAATACCACATTTGCTACCATGACCCTTCAGTCCCAACAAGGCTAAATTAGAAGCATGCGATTCTAAACAGAAGGTGCAGAATTTTCAGGGACAGAACCAAGACATTCATTAGCACTTGTCACTGTGTGGTCAAATTTTTAAGCCTCCAAGTATTTCTGCCAGCATTGTACAGCTACTTACTGTACGTGCATGATAAAATTGTGTGTGTGGGGTACCAACACAACATGTCTTGTAGAGAGAGGGGGTGCAGGCCCCTTACAAGGGTGTCAAATGTGAACCAGCAAACTAGCTGAGTAACACGTATTTTGTGCTCCAGCTGGCAGTTGTTAATGACTTTTTTATGGCAGTTTGAATGTATATTTAATAAGTATATTTAATATTCTTCTTCCATAAATCAGAAGTCAGCACCTGTACATTTTTGTTTCACTGTGGTGGCTTCTTCACTAAGAAGCATGAAATCAACATTGCTTGCAACATGGCTGCCGCATTGGCCATTTCACCTTTGTGCAAAGGCACGAGCTTTGTCGCTATTGCAACAGAAAGGGTGTGGTGCTGAAAAGTTGACTTAGGTTGAGTTATTCAAAAGGAAGAGGTGCGTAACCGTTCCTATCTTGTGTGCAGTGAGTAGAAGACAGACGAAAAAGAAAGTGGTATAATAAACCAACCTTAATTTACTTTCATAACACATTAGCTGTGCAGTTTCAACATACTTCTACATACTAATACTATTGATGCATTTGGGCAATAAATGTATTGGGCTTTCAGTATTAGTTGAGTGTCAGAAGAACCAATATTGTAATGAATCTGAATAACGGACGCTCTGCTTGCAATGAAGAAGACGATGATGATCGGTGGCTGTAGTAGTAGCTCGCGCATGCCGCTCGCCATTAGCCAGACCTGCCTGATAAAGCGCATTTTTCCAAGATGCGTCTGAACCTTTCTCGACGTACAACACCTCTATTTTAAGTGGTGGAGGAGCCGGGGTTCCCATCAACCTGGAACTTCGCAATCGGACGCTACCCTCACCGATCACCATGACTGCTCCTGGCCCTTTTCAAGCTGCCTTACCAACGACAGTGTACTGTACTGGCGTGAATCGGCAACGCTACCCACCAATTTTTCGCGGCAATGACGAACAAGACGTCGAGGACTGGCTCGTCGAGTACGAAATCGTAAGCGTTTCCAACAAGTGGAACGCCTGCGACCAGCTCACAAACGTGGGCTTTTACCTCGCTGATGTGGCCAGCCTCTGGTTCAAGAACCACGAAGGCGAAATCGCCAACTGGTCCGCCTTCAAGACCACCATCGCCGTGGTCTTCGGTTGTCCCGCCGTGCGGCGCCTTCGTGCGGAACAGCGTCTCCGTAGTCGAGTCCAGCGCAGGGACGAGACCTTTACAAGTTACATTGAAGATGTCTTGTCTCTTTGCAAGCGCATCGATGAATCTCTAACCGAACGTGACAAAATCAAGCACATCATCAAAGGAGTTGACGACGATACCTTCCAGATGCTCGTCGCTAGGAATCCACAGACCGTCACTGATGTTGTCCAGCTCTGTCAGGAGTACGACGAGTTGCGTAATCAGCGTGTCTTGACGCGCAAGGCCGCTGAAGATACGGCTGAAGTTTCTGCCCTCGTGCACGACGTCGCTGCTGATCACACCGTCTTACTGCCCCACATCAAACAATTCATTCGTGAAGAAGTTGCGCGTCAGCTTTCTCTTGTGGCTGAAGCATCCGCGCCAGTGACCTCGTTAGACCCACGTCTATGCCAGGTCATTGAGACACAGGTCACGCAGGCATTGCCTCCATCGCCATCTGTCCCTACGTCGCTGACCTACGCTGCCGTCATTGCTAGACCCCCAGCCCCACCTGTCTCTGGTGCATACCGGGGCACCGGGTCCTCCTACCCTACGACGCTGCCTACATACACGGCACCCCATCCCGTTTACTCCAGCAATTTTTAAAACATCCTTGTGTAGCAATATACTAATGTCAATCGTAATTGTAACAGAACGTTATAAAACACCTACAAGCACGAAGCCTTTATATATAGTAGTCGGCGATTTCAACGTGGACATTATGGACTTTAAATTTATAGAGGGCATAGCTTCTCTGACTCGTCATGATTCTCTTCGTAGAGATGTGCAGATTCTCCCCTTTTGCTCCGTATTTTGCGCTTTTTTGTTTCCGCCATGGTCTAGAGACTTGCGCAGGTCAAAGTTTTTGGTTGTGAAAAGACGGGCAGAGGAACAGCAGTCGTTCGAAGGTGTTGTCGATGCCGCATGCACTACACTAGGCGCTATCGGCCATTTCGATCACACACACACAAAAAAAAATGCGTTCGTGAATACAACACACAGCGTGGATGTCACAGTACTGCATCTTCACACTGGGAAAGACCAAGCAGCAGCCGAAGTTCCAGCGACGGGTCGAAAGAGGAATCCATCGTGAATAAACTGATCGAGGTATTCGTTCCCAAGATGGGAAACGGTACCCGACTTTTATGGGAAAGTAACGACAGACTATGGCACGGCTTTATGGACAGATCACATCCATTTGCTAAGTACCAAAGGTTACGAACATTTCATCGCAGAGCCACTAAAGAAGCACCAGGTTCGAGTTATATAAACAGCGAAGCTACTTTGTCAATACAAGAAATAGAAATATTATACAAGAAATAATATTATACAAAAATATAAATATAGAGAGGTCCTCCTCTATTGAGATAAATGTATCTAGTAGAGTGTGATTTTTCTTCCTATGGGAATACGGCACATGTGACAAATTGTTAGAGTCGCAGCGCAGACGGCGCATGCGCTGTGGCCGCACAGGAATGCCACGTTTCGCCTGCGCTCCAAACAAATGCCGCAGTCTAAGGATTCCTTGATTTGTCGTAGCTCTCTCTCCTGTTCCGTCTCAGCGGCGTGATCCACTTCAGTTCTCGTTGGCGCTGCATACACAGAATAATAATGAGAAAAAAATTTATGCAGAATAGCAATAAGGAATACAATACAGGAAATGGCTGAGAGGCAAACCAACATCCCTTCAATCAATGCCTGAGCACTCTCTCACTCACTCACTGATACCAGGGCCGTAGCCAGAATTTTTTTTGGGGGGTGGGTGAGTGGGAGGGGGTTCACACAGACTCGACCGTGGGGGGGGGGGGGGAGGCACAGGCATCAGCTTTTTTTATGTGACATCACTATCGGCCGTAGTTTAAACAGACGGTGCACATGTATATCAAGTCATGAGATTCCCTCTCTCCCCATGCTTATGGTTGTGAAGACAGTTAATTCAAGTACTGTAAGAATGATTCATTGATATGTGGGGTTTAACGTCCCAAAACTGCCATATGATTATGAGGAACGCCGTATAGTGGAGGAATCCAGAAATTTAGACCACCTGCGGTTCTTTAACGTGCCCCCAAATCTGAGCACACGGGCCTACAGCATTTTCGCTTCAATCAAAAATGCAGCCGCTGCAGCCGGGATTCGATTCCGAGACCTGCCGGTTAGCAGCCGAGTACCTTAGCCACTAGACCATGGCGGTGGGGCAGTACTGTAAGGAAGTACTGTAAATACAGTAAAAGACAGGTACAGTTACCGTTTGGCACAACAGCCTCTCGCTGTACCATTGAATGGACTAATCTTCGAAAACGTATTATTGCGATTATCCACCCGATCAAAGAAGACATTGTTAATCGTAGTCCTCATCGGGGCGAAGTGCGTTCAAGGAGGGCAGGCCAAGGAGGGTTCCGCTTACAACGAGGAATGAGAGGTATACACAGTGTGTTTTTGTACATTGATAATTACATCTTGGTTTTGCTTACTTTGCTGAGCGAATGTCTTACTGTCGATGTCTGTGGCTGCATGCCTATGGGAATGATTTTTATATTAATCTCTATATGTCAAGCCGCCCTGACACAGTGATGGCTTTTGGTGAACATATATTTTTTTTTACTATACTGTGTGCATACAAGCATGCTTGCGATACGATAATTTTTTTTTAATATATGCTACATGTTGGCAACACCATTTTGCACACATTATTTTTCGGGCAGACATTCAGTTGCAGTGTGACTATTGATAGAAATGAAGTACTCCGATCGTATAGAGGTTTTATCGTGCACTCTACGAGGGCAAAGTAATCATTGATGAGAAATGTTCACTTAGGTCTCAATCAAAAGTGCCCGTGCGACCGGACTATACCTATTCACATAAAACTTGGTCGCTGCGCATATGCGCTAAAACACTTAAATATGCGCAAAAAACATGGTGTGTTATTGTTTTTTTAATAGCTCTCTTCACTGGGCTCCCCGAAACGACAGCGATGCGGCAAGGTGTCTTCCGTTGTTTGCTAGCGTGCAGCCGACTTTTCTTTTTACCTGAACAGATTCAGAACTGTACAGAATATTTCACCACACAGCATCAGTGCATTCATGTTTCCCGCACTTACACCAGCGTAAACCGGAGCAGCCTTGTATCACACAAAATCTTCAGTGATTGGTTGACCAGTGATGAAGGAATGAACCCCGGAGTTGCTCAGAGCAGAGTGCACCGTAATCAATTTCTCAGAATGCGTGAACTCTGACGAGAACTGCCAGTGCATGCAACACGAGTTTACTTAAGCTCTATTTCGCACCGTCCATACCGGTTGGTTGTCTATTTCAAGCATTCTTATGCAAGTCGCTGGAATTTCACTACTGCCATCACCTCCTTCGCGTTCATTCACGTTTGTGGTATTTCATCACAACGCGACAGAAACTACTAGTTATCCATACGAGCGCAATCGTAAACGTGAGACATCTCACGCGCAGAGCAAGATACTGGGCGAGCGCGACCTTACCGGCACCTGAAAGAAAGCGTAGGAAATGTATACCCCCGAATCTTTCCGCCAGGCGAGAAACGAGCGCTAGTATTTAAGGCGGAACTTTACCAGCCTACATGTATCGTCGCTAAAGTTCTCGTTTCTCGCATTCAGGGTCACTGCTGAGCTCGTTGCTTCCTAGCAATGCGAAGTCACCACTTTGGAATACGCTGCGTATACACGCGTTCTTTGGTAGTTCATGTCCTGGGTCGATCAGCACCCTTCTATTAGACTCGATGGTCACGCCGAAACTGCAGTACAGTATAACGCTTCTCCCAGTGCACACTTGACAACTGGCGAAAATGAGAATGCCGCTTGTCACTGGCAGGCAGCTTCATTGAAGTATCGTGCCAGTGGCTGGCGTGGAAGAGCACTTTCGGCTTTCAGTATTTCTGGCTTTTTTCTGGACTATTTCATAGACCACTTCAATAAGTGCTTTAAAAGGCATCGGCACACCTTGCAGATGCTTTCTTTGCTTCTGCCACAGAGCATTCCCGAATCGGCCACTCTTCCCACTGCCGAGAAGTTTACAGACGTGTATACTCAAACATTATTTCAACTTCAGCAATGCAACGGGAGTTAGCAGTATATGCTACGAAATAGAAGCGAGAAAACTGAGAAACGCTGAGCATGTCTGCGATGCAAGTGATTGCAATTGCCCACCGGTATTCTTCCCAAATGTGCACCATCTTCTAAAGATTCTGGCAACTCTGCAGGTGAGCACAGCTCAAGCAGAAGGCTTTTTTTTTCATCGCTGAGACGCCTAAAGTTGTACCTGAGAGCTACAACAACACATGAAAAATTGTTTGGCATTGCTCTCTGAACATTCACCGTGAAACACAAGTCTCTCCTTTAGCAGGAACGTAGTCGGCCTCAGCTGAATGTGTGCGTAATATCAACCATTTGCGCCATATCAATCAAAGATGAAAATTAACTCAAGTTATTCTTGGATTGAGATGTTCTGAACAAAAGCTCTCTGAACATTCACCGTGAAATACAAGTCTCTCCTTTAGCGGGAACGTAGTCGGCTTCAGCTGAATGTGTGTGTAATATCAACCATTTGCGCCAGATCAATCAAAGATGAAAATTAACTCAAGTGATTCTTGGATTGAGGTTCTGAACAAAAGCAAAAACATAGTTGTTAATGATCAATTAATGGAGTTTAACATCTGATGGGTGAATTGAATGCCAAGGTAGGGAATAAGCAGGCTGGAGACCAGGTAGTAGGAGATTATGGCATCGGTACTAGAAATGCCAGGGGGGAGCTATTAGTAGAATTCGTAGAATGAAATAATTTACGGATCTTGAATACCTTCTACTGAAAACGAGGGAACCGTAAGTGGACATGGAGGAGCCCTAATGGTGAAAGTAAGAACAAAAAAGACTTTATACTGATTGCACACCCACGCATCGTGCAGGATGTGGAAGTGCTTGGCAATGTACGATGCAGTGACCATAGAATGATATGGTCGTGAATTCGCCTGGACTTGTAGAAGGAATGACAGAAACTGATACATAAGAAGCCAATAAATGAGCTAGCACTGAGATAAAAAGTACAGGAATTCAGAGTCTCGCTTAAGAACAGGTACTCGGCTCTTATCGAGCAAACCAGTCTTAGCGTTGATGCAATGAATGATAATCTGACGAGTATCGAGTGCAGTGGAAGATGGAGGTACGGTAGTTGGACAGCACACTGGCAAGCTGTCCTAGAAGACGAAGAATCTCATAAAGACACGTCAGAGCATGAGAGCTTCAAACACAGCAGACAAAATAGAACATGCGGAGCTCTCGAAGTTGATTATTAAGCGAATTGTGTATCTGATGTAAGAAGGTATAACATGGAGAAAACTGAACACGCTCTGAGGAACACAGGAAGCGTCAAAGTAGTGAAGAGGAAACTTGGGATAGGCAATAATCAGATATATGCACTAAGGGACAAGGAAGGTAAAGTAACTACCATTATGGATAGGATAGTTAAAATAGCGGATGAGCTTTACAGAGATCTGTACAGTAGCCGGGACATCTAGGACCTTAATATAAGAACTAGCAGTAACCAAGATGGCATCCCACCAGTAATGCTAGAAGTCAGAAAAGCCTTGGAGGTAATGCAAAGAGGCAAAACTGCTGGTGAGGATCAGATAACATCATATCTGATAAAAGACGGAGGACAGATTGTGTTAGAAAAAGTAGCTACCCTGTTTACGAAGCGTCTACTGACGGGAAGAGTACCAGAATCTTGGAAGAATGCTAACATCATCTTAATACATAAAAAAAGAGATGACAAGTCTTGAAGAATCACAGGCCAATTAGCTTGCTCTCCATCGTATGCAAGCTATCTACAAAGATAATTGCTAACAGAATTAAGACAACATTAGAATTTAATCAACCAAAGGAACAAGCAGGGCCCCGCCGCGGTGGTCTAGTGGCAAAGATACTCGGCTGCTGACCCGCAGGTCGCGGGATCGAGTCCCGGCTGTGGCGGCTGCATTTCCGATGGAGGCGGAAATGTAGGCCCGCGTGCTCAGATTTGGGTGCACGTTAAAGAATCCCAGGTGGTCGAAATTTCCGGAGCCCTCTACTTCGACGTCTCTCATATTCATATGGTGGTTTTGAGACGTTAAACACCACATATCAATCAATCAATCAATCATGAACAATCAGGATTTTGGACCATCTATACTCAACAATCGACCACATTCATACTATCAATCAGGTAATAGAGAAATGCTCAGAATACAGCCAACCACTATACATAGCTTTCATAGATTACGAGAAGGCATTTGATTCAGTAGAAATATCAGCAGTCATGCGGACACTGCGGAATCAGGGAGTCGACGAAGCATATACAAACATCCTGGAAGAAATTTACAGGTGATCAACTGCCACCATATTGCTTCATAATGAAAGAGACAACATACCAATCAAGAAGGGTGTAAGGCAGGGGGATACAATCTCCCCAGTGCTATTTGCCGCGTGCTTACAGGAGGTTTCAGAGGCATGGAAAAAGTTTGAGATAGGAGTTAATGGAGAGTACCTTAGTGCTTACAGGAGGTTTCAGAGGCATGGAAAAAGTTAGAGATAGGAGTTAATAGAGAGTACCTTAGTAACCAATGTTTCACCGATGACATCTCATTGCTGAGTAACTCAGGGGACGAATTGCAACTCATGATCACGGAGTTAGACAAGGAGGGCAGAAAGGTTGGTCTTAAAATTAATCTGCAGAAAATTAAAGTAATGTACAACAAGCTCGGAAGAAAACAGCACTTCGACATAAGTAATAATGCACTTGAAGTTATAAAAGACTACGTTTACTTGGGACAGGTAATAATCGCGGAACCAAACCACAAGATTCAAGAAATTAGACGAATAGGAATGGGGTGGAGCAAATTTTGCAAGCACTCTCAAATCATGATTATCACGGTATATAACAACTGCACCTTGCTGGTACTTAGCTATAGAACAGAAACCTAGACACTTGCATAGAGGGTTCAGCTTAAATTGAAGACGATGCAGAGAGCGATGGAAAGAAAAATGTTAGGTGTAACCTTAAGAGACAAGATGAGAGCAGAGTTGATCAAAGAACAAACCGGGATTAAGGATATCATAGTTGAAATCAACCGGGATTAAGGATATCATAGTTGAAATCAACAAGAGGAAATGGACATGGGCTGGGCATGTAGCACGTTGGCAGGATAACCGCTGGTCATTAAAAGTAACTGACTGGATTCCGAGAGAAGGCAAGTGGCTAAAGGGGGGACAGAAAGTTAGGTGGCAGATGAGATCAAGAAGTTTGCGGGTATAAAGTGGCAGCAGCAAGCACAGGACCAAGTTGACTGACAGAACATGGGAGATGCCTATGTCCTGCAGTGGACGCAGTCAGGCTGCCGCTGCCGCTGCTGGTGCCACTGAGCAGCAGCAGCAGCAGCAGCGGACGGTTTTGGCAAAATCAGTTAAAGCAAAAAAGTTATAGCAAAAAAGATGATTTTGGTAAAATCAGTATGCACTACTTTCCATCCAGCTGTATAAAGCAAGTTCAACTGTATGAGACATATTGCTGAAAATCACTTTGACAGCATGGCAGAGGGATTCCGTTCTCTCCCGTTGCCTACTCCTTGCTTTTCGGCGGCACTTTCATTTGCAGACGTGGTTAGCAGATACGAAAGGTGTGAACGACAATTAAACAACTCAAATTTGCATGTGGCAATTCTAAGAAATTTTGGGTATATATAAGTCATATAGTGTGACATGCAACGTGCAGGATACTCTTTGTGTCCATTGGAAAATAATCAACAGTATTCCACTATGTAGTGTGTCTGTTTGCGGCATGAGACATTGCTTGCATAAACTTTCTTTCATTTCTTGTAAAAAAATTATGATTGCTATGTATATTGCTCGTAATTTTACGTGATAACACGCCCAGCTATGTTTCTGCACTCTGTGCATTTCTTGTAGTGCATCATGTCGCTAGTTGCAGAAATTGCTCGGTGTGCCCTTCTAGTCATGTCAATGTAAAGAAACAAACAGATGAAGAGAATCAATCATATATAATTTGTCGTTATATTTTTTCAGCTTTATGTTCCTTATTCTTGCGCTGTTTGCCACAGTACTGAACAATAGAGCTTGTGCTCACTACAGCTGCTCACACCGCATCTCTCACTAAGCTGCCTTAGGTTTATGACCACCATCTATTTATTTATGAGCCTAAATTACATGATGAGTATTTTAGTAGGCCTTTCTAGTGCTGTGATTAGCGTGCACGCTTGCCTGTGTTAGACCTTCGTCGCTAGGCAACACTTCGGAGTGCTTAGACGTTAGCGCATAATAAAGATGTGTATAAATATATTATGCACTCGCATAAAAGCCCAGCTAGGTGTATAAACCAAATATTCTGTCGTGCACGTGTATGTGTGTGTGCGTGTGTGTGTGTTTAGATGTTAGCAAGACATGCGAAGGTTAAATAGAAACGTTATTCTTTGGCTTGAGTATATCCAAGCACACATACGAAGAGCCACACTGTAATATGCTTGAACGTGGCCTATCAGGCCTTGGAACTGTGTCTGGCTATTTCCATTTAAACGAACCTTTCCCTATTGAAAATTATCGTAGTGATCGACTATGGTGAGATCTGTTCCGGTGGGTACAAGTATGACCACCGCTTGAGTATTAATCCTGTCGCCGAGGCAACCTAAAACACTCGCGGTCGAGATTTCTGCCCAAAATCTCACAGAATGCCAAGCCTCAATCGAGAAACACTGCGATACGTTTTTCCGTATTCATGCAGACATTATTCATTGTAAAAGCCCTCAGCAATGATATTGTGATAGTAGCAGCGTTTAGTTTTTAAATCATGTCAGCGCGAAGTGACCAAAAAGCGACTCTCCCGTGGCTACGCCACTGACTGATGTCAAACAAATTAACGTGCCCCTTACCCTGTTCTTTCCTCTGGGAAGGGTTCCGTAAGTCCACGAAGTCCTCATCAGAGAGCTTAGGCTGTGTTTTTGTAAACGGCTTCCTGGGTGGCACGCTTGCTCTGTAGTGTTGAAGAGATAAACGTTCGGGTGTAAGCAGAAATGAAACACCTATGCATTGCTAGAAGGAACGAAATGTTACTGAAGATCTATGAAGTGCGTGCTTATGATGGAGCCAAGCTTCTTGGACGCCAGTCTGTCGCTTGATTTTATTAAGTGAAGCACCGTTGATCGATGCGCTAGCGCTGCACTTACGGACAGAATCACACTTATCTAGAACGGCGTCTGCGGACGCTGGGGTTGGCCGCAGCTGCCACTTCTTGTTAGCTATACAAGTTTCTATTCATGCTTCAGTTACAGCGTAAGGACTGCGCATGTGCTATGACTATGTTAGGTACCGTATTACGGCGTTGGTCTTTGCATATTCCTCCAGAAATGGCTGGCTGCAGCGCTCTAGACAAGTGTAATTCCGTCCGTACGACTTGCTTGCGAGCAATTAAGCTTGCTGTACACAGCTTGTATGAGCAGTGCGGCGCCGGTGCGACACCTGGGCGCTGTTGGTTTGTGCACTGCGTGCGCTCTGCGAGCGCTTCAGTGCGTGACGTCGGGCGCTTGCTCGTAGGGGCACAGGTGTTGCGCCGGCGAAGCGCAATATCTGTGTATGGTCCTAAAAAATAAACGGCCGTGAAATATTTTTAAGGAGCTTCGTGCCTATAAAAATAGACAGCAAATGCTCACGCTGTGTCGCCAGGCCGAAGGATGCGCAGGAAGGCGTGCTCTTGCTCGTGTCTGCCTCCATTGTAGCAAACAGTGCACAGATCATAGTTTCTGCACAGTTGGCACTTCCAGCGTGTCCCCAAGATTCCTTGCTCACCGCAGGCATCACAGTTGACTCCTTGGACGGCAAAAGGGTAAAAAAAAAGATAATAAGGCAGTCGAACCTTCATGCATTGAAGTAGCATCGAAATTATAATCTAGTTCTTTATATCTGGTATTCGATTCAAAAGTACATGTAAAATAATCGGCTCTGACATGTCAGACAATTCAACTAATGGGTTCTCTTTGTGAGTGTGCAATGCATCCTGCCAGGTTGAATGGAAATGGAAAATATGTGGCGACTGCGTCGAGTACCAAGGCTCTTTAACGATAAAAGACTCTCCAGCCAACATTAACCGCTCGACGGGAAACCCTGTCGAGCGTGTATGTACGCAGCTTTCAAAATCAATGGTGAAGGCAACGCACTGACAAAAGTGGGGAGGAGAACGACGGTGGAGATGGAGGCAACCACTAAGGTTCACCCTGAGATCGAGCGGAGTCGCCACCTGGTGGCCACTAGCTGAAACGCGCCTAGTGTGGATTACTCCCTGCCACTCCTGGTAGTACCGTAAGGCTAGCATGTGTGCGTACGTCATGTTCATTCTCAAAGAGCAGATTGTCCCGCTCTGTTTGCGCAAAATTAACTGCTATAGTACGTTTGCCGATCACTATATACAGACATATTTGATTTTGCTCGGCTGTATATGCCCAGAAATGAGATCAGTTCGGGCATTTGCCGGGAGTGCTGTGTATCGTCCTCGTACCGTTCGTTCGCCAGCATAATGCCAGTTCAGGTGCAATTGGCGTCGTACCGGACATGAGGAATAATAAATATTGTGTCAATGAAGCATTCTAGCGACTCACCCCTGTATTCTAGAACGTCCCTTCACTCAACGCTTCACCTTCACTTGAGAAGGCCGATAGAAGCGCTCTCTCTAGGCACGGCAAGTCACTGCATATCAGCGATAATCTGCTGCGATTCTTGAGTAGCACAGTGTCATTTTTGAGCCGAGCTGTAGCGCAGTGCTCAACTCTGTCAAGTGAAGGATGAAAGTGGAGTCGAGGAGCGTTTGTAAATACGGGGGTCAGTGGTAAACGAAGTTCGGCATTGTTAGACGTCTAACTGCGGCTTTGTTACTTATCAGATGAGCTTTGATTGTGCCTGAGAGAACCTTTTGTTGTCCGGTCATGGTCCCATTACGGTGAAATATTTGCCTTGTAAATTCAGACACTTTGGCATACAAAATGAAATGACCCGGAGGTGATTAAACTTGAATCCCCGGGCACAATTTTAACATTGGGCAAAATTTATACAGATAAACCGTGGGCTTAGATTTCGGTTCGCTTCTAAAGAATCCAGGTGGTCAAAACTAATCCAGACAGCATGCTACCTGCTTATGTCGTAAAATTTTCCGCAAAACGACATCTCTTTTTCTTAACATTACCAGCACTTTTGTTACATTATTATAGGCTGGCTGAAGTAGCGGACATTATTCACTCAAAAAAAAAAAAATTGTCTCATCCAATATTTGAACCTTCGTTGCATCACTGTCGCGCTCATAATCAACCGAGCAACGCTGTGTGCTAAACTGTTATCTTTTTATACGGTTATTGGAGTAAGAACAATCGCACTAAAGTGGCGTCAGCCACGTAGCTTTTCTGAATAAACTTATCAGCAGTCGTACGTTCATTTCATGGAAAATTGAATAAGAAAAAAGGCGGATGCGTTTTCGCGCATCCCAAGAATATGTATTTTTTTCCTTCTCTTTTTTTTGCTATAGAAAACCAGCATACGTGAAACAAAATGGATTCAGTGGCACTACAGTAGTGAGCAGTAAGCAGGAAACAAGCTCAACTCTTACAAATAAAAACACACACAAAAAAAAACGTGACAGCGCGAAAACGTAGACGAAGACCATCCTTTGAATGGCAGAATGCGTTTCTCTCACAAAGAATAGTAACGTTTAGCGAGCTTCCTGCGTTTATGCAGTAATGAACGGAATATGTATTACACGTAGGCTGCAGTCAACACCTTTTATTCGTCAACAATCGGCTCATGCAGCATATATATATATATATATATATATAGGGGACCCTCTGCCTTTAGGAGTTGAACGCGATAGCGATACCCTGTTTCTAGTTCGTACTTCAAACACTTGGTGCATGAAACCGAACTTGCTATGCGAACTTGCCATGCGTCCACTACGTGGTGTCAAAAGCGCAGTTGCGTGGGCCTTTGTAGTTGGTGACTGGCTTTAAATTACGAAGCCATTATGATAATCACAATTTCTGGCACCCGTTGGCAATGGGCGCTTGTATACCACGCATTATTAGTGCAATATTAGAAAGTTTTAGAATACCGTTTGCAAGCGCTGCGGGCGTTGCGGGCCAAGCGGGCGCAATAAGAGCTTTAGATTAGCGCTTGCCCTGCTGCGAACCGCAACGCACGATCGCAACGACACCATAGCCTCGAAACCAGCGCTTGTGGGCCACATGTGGGCCGCCATCACCGCACGCAATTTCGGATTTTCTGCGTGCGGTACGCGAACGCCGACGCGCGTTACGACACATGCGCAGTTGAAGTGACCGCACCGCAAGGGCTTGCGGTGCGCTATTCTAAAGCTCCCTATTAAATGCCAAGCATTTCTTAGCGAACTTCGACTGACTGTCTGTCTGTCTGTCTGTCTAGCCGCCTACAACGTTTAGCTCTCCTGGCCGTTTCGATAATGGTATTGATACCAAACTTGGTATGGCATAACGTAACTGTATGAAGAAGACATTTGAGTAGTCATAACATGAAAATCACGACATGCATGTCATGAACGTCATGATTTACATTTCATGGTCCTGCAGCTCTTGCGGTGGTTTCGTACATGTGGCATGTTGCAAAACTTGTATGGTATGTCATGATTGCATGGTGAACACAAGCGACAGACCCTAACATGAAAATCGTGACACGCGTGTCATCATGACTACATGCCATGCTCATGATGCGCTCGCGGCCGTTTCGCTAGCGTCACATATATTAAATTTGGTATTATGGTACGTGAATAGATGACGAAGGTATGTGACTGGTGCAAAAATGATAATCACGAGATGCGTGTGATGTAACATGACTACATGCCACCCTCATGATGCGCTGGCGGCCGTTTCGCTAGTTTCACTTATACCAAATTTAGTATTACGAGACGTGAATGGATGACGAAGGTATAATACTGGTGCAAACATGATAAACATGACATGCGTGTCATGTAACATGACAACATGCTACGCTCATGATGCGCTCGTGGCGGTTTCGCTAGCTTCACAAGGTACCAAACTCGGTATTACGCGACGCGAACGAACGACATAGGTAAATGACACATTCAAACATGATAATCACAACATGTGTGTCATGTAACAACATGAATACATGCCACACTCATGATGCTGTCGTGGCCGTTTCGCCAGCTTCACACATGCCAAATTTGGTATCACGTGACGTAAATGAATGACGAAAATATGGGACTGGTGCAAACATGATAATCATGGGATGTGTGTCATGTGAGAACGTGACTACATGTCACAGTCAAGGCGACAATGCATTTCGACAAGACGTGGGGTGCGTGCTCGCCAGGCGTTCATTTCGATGCGTCACGCCGGCGTTGCGATGCAAGGCGCTGGTCCTGCCATATACTCACAGGCGCGCGCCGCGATGCATTGCTTTGACGCATGCACGTTTCAGCGAGTCTGGCGTCCCTCATTCATGAAAAGAGGGAGACACAGCGTTGTTCTGGGTAACGCATCGGCGCGAAATGCAGCATGTCGCATTTCGCATCGGTTGCCGTCGGGGCGCGCCGGTCACGCCTGGCGTCAGACCATAGAAGACTTGCATTTTGCTAATGTGTAGCGTCGCTGTGCCCAGCGTACGTGCACGTCATCGCTACATTGGAGTATATTGGGCCCTTCATGATGCGCTCGCGGCCGTTTTGCTAGCTCCACATATACCAAATTCGGGGTTAAGTGACGTCAATGAATGACGAAAGTATATGATCGGTGCAAACATGATAATCCTTACACGCGTGTCGTGTAAGAGCATGACAACATACCACGCCCATAACGTGCTCACGGTCGTTTCGCTAGCTCCACATATACTAAATTTGGTATCACGTGACGTGAATAGATGACAAAGGTAAACGACACATCCAAATATGATAATCATGACATGGAAGTCATGTACGGCATCATTTACCTGCACCTCATAACGTTGTGCTGATTTTAAAATGACATATCAACCTTTCTCATTCGTGCTTAGCATATAATCGATTCCCACTGTACGTGGGACCTGCCACTTTTTTTTTTCATGTTGCATTGTGAAGCATGCATACAGGATGCATGTGTTTGTAAACTCTGCATTTCCTAGCACGGGAAGTTTTTTTCACTGTTTTCACAAGCAGAGGTGTCCCCGTGTGGTATAAACATCCGATTGACACCCAACTGACCCGTGTTCGATCCCAACTCGGACCCAAACAACCTTGGTTCGGTCCCCACTCTGACCCTGGATTTATTCATTTTAAATTCATCGTTCTCGATTTTTTGGTCACGCATAAGATGACGAGTTTTGTCCCACAACCAACGACGCCGACGCCGGAATTTCTGTGAAACCAGCTCTTTAACGCTATTGCGTTAGAAGCTCTGCTGTGTACATTTGAATGCGCGCAGTCTGTCGCCTATCTATACATAGCGCGGTGATGGTGCTGCCACCTATAGCTCGATCTCGGGGCGAATAGGTCGCCAGCTTCGAAGCAGGTCGAACAATCTCTAAACGGTCGCCAGCCGGACCGTCAAACCCAGCTTGACTAGACTTTTTTTCTTTCTTCAAATTTCCCCTAACCAGACAGAAATCTGTCAATTATGCCCACCTTTAAACTAGGGCTGTAGTACTTCTCTTTCTGGGTTAAGTACTATATCAGCAATACCCACTGGCTACAATGACATAGATCGTTGTTTAAATATAATTGTCACAGGATTGCTTAAATAGCGTGGTTTTCTACAATCTTTAATGTTTACCTTGTTTTTATGCAATCTTTTTCGAATATTGAAACTTTTTCCAACAAAATACTGGAGATGATATCGCGGGGACTCAGTGTTTTTGTTTTCATGCTAGAGAAAAAAGTAAATTTTACTGAAATGAGGCGTGATCAACCCATGCTAGTATTCGGTCTATAACCAATAATTTGCTATATAGGCGTTCGTTACAACGACGTTTTGTTTCTACAAAACTGAATTCTGGGATTTCACGTGTCAAAATCACAATGTATAACGACGAGAAATCGTTGAAGCAAGCAATGTCACCGGAGCCGATGTTTCGACAACTGCGTTTGTCTTCGTCGAGACAGCAGCTGTACGGAACAGTCAAGACGGCAACAAGGCCATAGCTGCCTTGGCAAAGACAAGTCCACTTTTCAAAACACTGGCCCCAGTGACGGGACATTTGAAGTTTCAACTATTTTTCATCATTTCAATCCTCTTTAACATCCTGTGAACTTCATCGTGATTGCGAGATACATGACAAGATTTACCGACAAGATTTACCGCATTATTATACTGCATCTGCTTCTGACTGTTTCTACGGGCGACATACACAAGCATTCGCTTTATTTATATCACGACAAAGTGTGACAAGCACTTTCCTCAACAGTTTGATATTTCAGTCAGCACGAAGGGTACTGAAAGTATACGTTTGGCACTGCAGTCCCTGCGACACTTCATTTGAGGACTCCCAGAACCAACATAAACTAGAGGGTGGTTTCTTGCTTGACTCCACTACCCGGACACTCGTGCTATCATCTTCACTTATTTGTTCGTAAAGTACGTGGGCAATGCTGGGGGTAAACATTGAGCTTATCAGGATATCACGCTTTTCGACTGCACGCTGTTATCTCAGTTTGCGCACTCGGAAACGGACAAAGCGTAGCGGCGTCTGTCGATCGTGCATAATAGCCACGCGAGACAAGGCATGTACGGGCGTCCCGCTGCATGGCGAGGCGGGGTAAGGCAACGCCCTCTGTAAATTCTAGGAGGTATAGATGAGGTATCCGTGGTACATGGACCAACCGCGAGCCTCTTTTGTAATGACGTCACATCAACCAACTGCTGGCGGCATAAATGAATTGTGCAGGAAGAGACAAGAAATGACCGGAGAGAACAGACGTACAGTTATAGTTTAGCGGGCATAGCAGAATAGCGGGTGTGGCGTCATTAGAGAGTTTAGTATACCAAGTGTACCATGATACGAGAATGGAAGTGCGCATGCGCAGACACGTACGTCACCCGTACAGCTTCCCGTGCGCGCGGTATTTTTCAGATTTCACCTTACCGTGGTAGCGTAGTTGTACGTAGTGTGCGTACAACTACGCTATCACTATGTAGTGTACGTACAACTACGTACGAACAGGGGAGCAGACTCAGTTACAGTTCTCGGTTGTGACCTTCTGTACTTGAGCGAGGAAGTTTGTTATGTCTGTGCGCATATAAATTCTATTTTTCTGAGAGTAATAATAATAGTAATTATTTCCTTCCATTAAACCGGTTAGTAAGGGGAATCGTGTTCGCATTTCACGCTCTATTCTCTCTCGTCCAGTGTAGGGCAGTAAATAAGGTACCTAGTTAAGTCTGGTTAAATATACCTGTTAAATCGCTGCCCTTGGTTGCATTTTCTTTCTTTATCTTTCTTATGATGCGGGACACTACTGTAGCAAGATGGCAAGTTGGGCCAGTTGGATTACGTTCATAATTGAAAATTTTGTTGAAGCGCACTAAAAAATGGACGGACAGTAGAGGCTGACAAAGACAGTACTTGCTCTCACACACTGAAGGTTTACTATTCTAAAAAGGTATTTAAAGCAGATACATGGTCTTTCGTGCATGTGCATCAAAACAGAGTTCAACAGAAACCACTCTTGTAAGGATTACAAAAATTTTACATATTATGTGTCATTTATTATACTTTACAAGTACTAGGTGTCGAGATACGCGTACTCTTTATCATGCAGCACAATCGCAGCTTGGCTAACACAGTCATGTCCCCTCTTTAGGATGTGGTAAGATTCCACTATCTCACGTGTTAGCCGATGCTTGTGTCGAAATATTTCTCTTTCTTTAAACACATGATGGCATCTGCAGTTCCTACAGTGATCTACAAGATGACTGTTGCCTGATGCCTTAACCAATGCGCGATGTTCTCTAAGGTGGTCGTTCATGTATCTCGACAACTAGTACTTGTAAAATACAATAAATGACACACAATATGTAAAATTTTTGCAATCCTGACAAGAGTGGTTTCTGTTGCACCCTGTTTTGTTGGACATGCGCAAAGACCTTGTATCCGCTTTAAATACCTTTTTTGAATAACAAACCTTCAGTTGTGAGAGCAAGGGCTGTCCTTGTCAGCCTCTTCTGTCCGTCCATTCTTTAGTGCGCTTCAACAAAATTTTCAATTATGACACTACCGTATTAGGGGTAATATACGGCTTACCGGTGTGACGGGCACCTGCAGAGCTCGTCTGTGCCGATTGTTGCCTCGGGGACACCTTGATTCTGTAAATACGTCCAAGTATCTTTTAGAAATTGGCCTACGGGGCTGCAACTGCTTTATAAGTTTTAAAGTTTGATTAGTAAAAGAAAAAAAAACAAGTGAGAAAATGATGACAAAATTTCGAGCACACAAAAAAAAAACGAATAGAAAAATGTACATTAGTTGACTGACTAGCTTTTCGAGGTGCAAGATTCATGACTATTATGTGAAATGGATGCAACGGCTGCGTATAACACATGCATATGCACACACACGCACACATGCCACGCACGCACACACACCCAAACACACGCACTTAACACACATGCACGCCAAACTTCCCTGCTAATCCACGAGGATGTCTCCACATGCCTCTAAGTACAGAACACCGCTATGCATCTTGCTCAGCTAAAGCCTCTCTCGTTCAATAATTGGCGTAGCAAAGTTCAAATTCTATGTTATTACTTTTTTTGTTTTTACAGTGGAGCAGGTAAGCTTTTTTTAAGCCGCGTGGTGTGACCCGACCACTATAATCATCATAATAACAAACCAGTACGCACTCTCTTCTCTTCCTCTTGTTAATATTCTGCTCCTCTCTCAGGACATGAGCGCTGGTTTGTCCGGCGAGGGGTGCAATAACGCTTATGGGCATGAGAACAATTTTAGGCAGAGAGACAGAGAGAGAAAAAAATACAGAAAGAAAAGAAGGAGAAAATACAGCAATACAAATACAATACAAATATACAGCAGTAAGAGATATACAGAACTACAGACAAAAAAAAAGAGATAGAAACAGAGTAAGACAAATAAAAATGAAGAAGCAACAAAATAGAGAGAAAGGAAGAAGCATAATACAATGAGCGAGAAAAGGAAACAGAAGGAAAGACAGAAAGGAACGGAGACAAAAGAGAGATGCGAAGAGAGAAAACAGAGAAAGAGGAAAAGAGAAAGAAGGTAGGATGCCCAGCTTTGCACTTACTTTAGGCTCGGGAGTACTATTGCGAAGCTGCCCTAATTTTTTTTCTATCTCGAGGAAGGAAGGAAAGCTAAAAGGATTTAACTCGTAAAACGATCTTGAAATTTCGCCAATGTGCGTTTACTATGGAGCTATTGAACCGAAGCAACAGCTATAGGATCGCAACTTACCCTGTACCACGAGGACTATCAAAACGCAGAAAGCTGTGGTCGAGTCTGTGCTTGTTGGACGCGTAGCAATCAGAGCAAAGGTTGTAGTCCGAGCATACGTCGCACTGCCATCGGACTCCTGGAAGGTGCTTCCGGCAACAGCTATTGCATGGTGGCCCGCGAGAACTCTCACCTGCAAAGAATAAAAAAATATGCATACATACATACATACATACATACATACACACATGCAAGCAAACACACACACACACAAACACACACACACACACACACACACACACACACACACACACACACACACACACACACACACACACACACACACACACACACACACACACACACACACACACACACACACACACACACACACACACACACTGTACCGAAGCATAGTGGCGCCAGCTCTGTGCGAGCGTGAAAGAAGACATTGACGTCCGTGTGTGGCTCGTGCTTGCCGGGTTCCTGCCTGTACCAGCTTGTTGCGGCTAACGTTTCTCGAATAATAACCTGTGTTTTCACGCAACCTTGCTCGTTGCAGTATACATAGTATATCTTCTGGGTCATTCCGTAACGCTTCGCTCAATGCAAAAATTGAACCATGGTCACCTTCCTTCCGCATGCTTCGTATAACATCGATTCCCGTGCTACGTGGGATTTGCGAATTTTTTTGCTCCAACCAGTTTCGCGTGCCGTTACCTTATTCGCAATAGAAGCTATTATGCAGCTTCTTAGCAGCTGTATATGGCACGAGCAGTAGTAGCACGAGCCACACACGGACGTCAACGTCTTCTTTCACGCTGGCACAGAGCTGGCGCCACTATGCTTCGGTACAATTACTCTCCGCGCAGAAAGGAGCCAACCTGGTGACCTAGGGAAAGGACACGACAAGGTTCCGGCGACGAGCGCATTCTTGTGACGGCATGAAGAGGGCAGTTGAATCGGAAACGGAGTTGCACAAAAGAGATACCGCGGCGACCGAAAAAGCAGAAATGACGACGTCAGCGGCGACGATCACCTTTTTGGGTGAGCGAGGGAGATCTATGAATGTCGTGCTGAATGGAAACAAAACGAGTTGAGCACGACATTCATGCGAAAGACGTTGCGTCCTTTCTTCTTCACCATCTCATTTTGCGACACGGTGCACCTCGTGAATTACTGAGTGACCGTGGACGCGTGTTTCTCTCGAACGCCGTCGACGAGCTGCTCAAGGCATGTCGCACTGTCCATCGGAAATCCTCGGCATACCATCCTCAAACCAATGGCATGACGAAAAGCTTTAACCATACCCTTGGAGATATGCTTGCCATGTACGCCTCTGACGACCACACCAATTGGGACCAAGTGCTCCCTTTTGTCACGTACGCGTACAACTCTGCACCACAAACAATCACTGGCTTTTCTCCTTTCTTTCTCCTGTACAGGACGTGAGCCATCATGCTCCATGGACACCATTCTCCCTTACAGGCATGATGTTTCCGAAGCGACGCCTGTTTCCGAAGCAGCTGCTTATGCCGAAGAGTGTCGTCAACTCGCTCACTCATTTACCGCACAAGACCAATGGCGCCAGAAAACTGACCACGATTCCTCTGCGTCTACTGTACACTATAACGCAGGAATGCTGGTTTGGCTCTGGGTCCCGTCTACCTCTCCTGGTCTTTCCCCGAAGCTTTCGTCGAAATACCATGGCCCCTATCGTGTGGTGTGGCAAACATCTCCTGTCAATTATGGAGTGAGCCCATTGATCCACCTTCGGACCAACGCTGCCGTGGGCGTGAAACAGTACACGTATCACGCCTCAAACCGTGCTATGACCCCCTTGTCGTGTCCTTTCCCTAGGTCGCCAGGTTGGCTCCTTTCTGCGCGGGGAGTAATTGTACGGAAGCATGGTGCGCCAGCTCTGTGCCAGCGTGAAAGAAGATGTTGACGTCCGTGTGTGGCTCGTGCTTGCCGGGTTCCTGCCTGTACCAGCTTGTTGCGGCTAACGTTTCTCGAATAATAACCTGTGTTTTTACACAACCTTGCTCGTTGCAACACACACGCACGCACGCGCACGCACACACACACGCACACGCACGCGCACGTGCACGCGCACGCGCACGCACACGCACACGCACACGCACACGCACACACACACACACACACACACACACACACACACCCTTACAGCTCGCTTTATCGCTCTGAGACTGGGTCTTCTCAGCTGCAGCTGACTGCTGCCTTGGCTATACTCTTATCCCAAAATTGCGAGAACTTTTGTATTTATTTACATTTTTTACATGTGTAGGTGCTATATATCTATAGCTTTTAAAGATGTGTAGTTGGGAGTGAACCTAATAAACTGTATGGTCATGGAATAAGTGAGTTAACCAGAGATTTACGTTACATTGCTATTGCAGTTTTCTTTTTTTTTACACAGTGACGTCATGGCAATCCAAAACGCACGCTTCACTAAACGTGCCAAACCAGCTTTAGCCGCTTTGAAGCATTTTGCTTTTTTTGTCGTATGGTTCCTAAATCTGTATTGTCTTTGAGTGATTTCTCTTATCATTTATTTACAGTCATTTACTCCCAGCCACGCTCATTCGTTATAGAGTGAATGGACAACGTTTATCATTTCTTGTATTGCTGATAACTTCTAGTCAACAACAATTCTGGCATCAAAATTTGAATTTTGAGAGCTCTTCAGCACTAACATCGTCAAGCCGTAATAACAGTGCATTTCTTATTTAGCGAGTGCGAATTGCACACTCAGAACAGAACAGAACTGAGCAATATAGCGACCTGGTGGTACTAAACCATTACTGCGCATTGTGGGCAAAGTTCCGCTACCTGTTGAAACTTTTCTTACACCAAGCATGAAATGAAAAATGACGGTTTCATGGCTGCTGTTAGCTGAAGTCAACATATCATAATGAGCTGAGAGGTGGGAGGGGGGTCGATACAGCAGTCAGAGGTTCCAAGAAAGCTTGCACCAGCAAAACAAACGCCTACCCTCGGCTGTGGGGCGTGTCCCGGCGCACAAACGTATGATCGAGATCGTGTTCATTGGACAGGTAGCAAAAGGTACAAAGGTCGTAGTCGGTGCACACGTCGCAATTCCACTGCGGTCCCACCATGTTATCACGTCCGCAAGAATTGCAACATATTCCTTGGAACGTCACGGCTGTGAAGAAATTAAAGGTCATCTATTTAGTGTAGTAAAATGTAAAACTCTGTGGGGTTTCGGAAGTTCACTCCTATTATTAAACGACCCAGTATACAGCGATACTATAGTCATGACGCAACCTGTAGTATTATAGGGGGTAATAGGCCACACATCCACATTTCGCCGAATGGAAGGATTGACTGAACAGATAAAATTTTCTTATTCCGCCGAACATACTTAAGATTATGTGATACTGAAATCTGAAGCGGCAAACGGGCCAGTCACTGGCTCCCATCCGAATTTCACTGTGGTGTGTGCCTGTTTTAATTACGTTCTTTATAGGCTATATGTCTTCACCCCATAAAAAGAAATAATTACAAAATTAGAGGACCCTCAAGCTTCGCTTTTAAGAGTTGAACGTGATAGGGAAATCCGGCCCCTAGTGCACCCTTCAACCGCCTACTGCATACTTATTCATATGTTTTCTTACATACACGTGCACGCACACAAACACGCACAGAGTATATATATAGATTGGACCAGCGCGTGCTATTATCGCCAAATGGGCTCGTTTTCGTCGTGAGACCTGTCGAAGGAAATGCGTTAAAGGGGCCCTAAAACACTTTTTGAAGTAATCATGACATTAATTCACTAGAAGAGCTTATTACCTCACGAATTCAACGCCGCAAAAATTTTAAGAATCCGTCTAGTGCGAGTGGAGTTACAAAGGTTTGTCGCATGCTGCAATTGCATTATCTCTTCTCTGATCCTGACGAAAGCGCTAGAAGCTAAACAGGTAGGGGTGGCAGGGCAATGAAACTACCGCGCATCATGACCTTGAGCACTTTTTTTTTTCTTCTAATGCGCGGCTTTTTCAGTGTGATCGCATGCCTGGACAAGTAGCGGCCTCCCGCGGCTATCTCGGTAACTTGATTTTTCGGTCACAGACGCACAGACGATTTTTCACTCACAACCAAAGGAGCCGACGCTGGCGGCGGGTTTCTTGCGACACGAGCTCTTTAACGCCATCACGTTAAAACTACAACTGCAGCCACGGTTGACCCACAGGTCACGGTTGACTGTTGACCCACAGGTCACGGGATCAAATGCCGGCCAAGGCGGCTGCAATTTGGGTGCAGGCAAAAATGCTTGATGCTTGTGTGCTTAGATTAGAGAGCACGTTAAATAACGCCAGGTGGTGGAAATTTCCAGAGTTCTCCACTCATAATATGGGGTTTCATGATGTTAAACCGCAGCAATTATCATTAAAACCTACAGGAAAAAGAATATAACACGCAATTGCGTAGCGATAACTTCTTACCAAGTGGTTTTAATTTTGTAATGAACAAAGTAGATGCCTCCATATTTGTTTTTCAGGCAGAGTTCAATCTACTGTGCTGCCATCTGTTTTTTTTTTTACAAATGGCAGCGTAGATGACAGCGTTTTTTGATATGCATGCTTTTCACGTGACATAATTGTGAATCTTTCATTCTGTGAAATTGCATTTGCTATGGGTGCGCTTTGAGAATCTAACGTGTCAATTTTGTGAATGCGGCAACAAAAAGAGATTACTCGAAAATAGTTCATTAATGTTATTGTATTTATAAGCTTAGTATTGAGGGTATGCAGGCTTGTCCAGTTTCTAATGACATCTTTCATCCATTGTGATTTTTTTCAGTTAGCAATTGAAAATGAAATGATAGCAAACTGCCTTCGCGTTAAGCTAAAGCACGAGTCAAGTGCCACGTTCTGATTATGACTTACATGCGTGACCTGTGCTCTGTGGCCTGTTTGAAGAGTTGTCTGATGATTTCACTGGAAATCTGGAGTAGCTAATTGCACTCGCACATAATGGCGGCAGTATCTGTGCTTTAATGACGCAAATGGAGTGCGACTGTCGTGTGTACAGCGCAATTAAACTGTACACGTGACAATTATGCTCCTGATGTTTTTCTGGTGCACTTTGTAACATTTTTCCAGCGAAGCATGCAACATGATAACATAGTTGAGTGCTGTTTGATTGCTTACCTCTGGGTATGAAATAGCTTAACTGTGACCTGGCCGTTGTCTTTCTCGGAGGCACCCTCGTTCTGAAAGTGGTGATAAATCTGCTTTGAAGAGGCTTTACGTTCAGTCTTCGATACTGATCTTAAGACTGAGGAAGGACACGGCGGAAAATTAAGGGTTAATGCTAAGGAATAATATTAAAATTTAATGCACCTAAGCCTAATAGTGCACACTCCTCAAAAGGTGAAGATGATGTGCTCAAAGATAAGATCTTTCTCATTCACATACATAGGAATGCGCACAAAGGGGGCAGAGGGGGTGGCCGCCCTTCCCCCTGGTCACCTAAGAAGGGGGTGCAAAATCTGCCCCACACATTGTTTGGATGAATAGGGAAGGGGGCACTGCGATGAACCATCGTCTCCCCCCCTCCCTCTTTGAACTAAAACCGTGAGTACGCATATGTTCACAAACGTACATATGTAAAGCGCATCTTAATTGAAAGTCGTTCCATCGAGTAGTGTGGCTAACATGCCGTGCTTAGCCAACTGTCACGTATTGCCAAGATTGTGCACTGTAAACTAAACATCTAATTAGCATTCAGCAGCGCACGACAACTTTTTTTCGTGAAATTCAGCTGCCGAAAATTCCAACTACAGACATCAACCTGAGGCAAACTAGTCGGATAATATGTCAGAAATACCAAAATTGAGGCGGTTTGAGTATACTGATATTGTGTGTACATATCCCGAAAAAAGACCTCAGCTGATACCGGCGTGAGGCGCGCGAATATATAGAAAGCTTAAGTATACGAAACTTCCAACACTTACGCGACGCCACCGGGCGTGTTGAGCTTCAGGAAGGCGTGTTCTTGGTTGTGCTTGCCGTCCATGTAGCAGGAATCACACAGGTCGTAGTCATGACACAACAGGCATTTCCAGCGCGTGCCGAAAATTCCATCCTCGAGACACTCGTCGCAGGTTATTCCTTCGAAGGAAAAAAAGACGACATAAGTTCGTTTACTGTGAGCAGTAGGATTCTATTGCACGAGCTAAAGTAAGAAATATGCTCGCTTTACAATGAGCCGAGGATGTCAATTTTATTAGGAGAAGCTTAAAAAGGTAATTCAGTAGTCATTCGTCGTGCAACGTCGGAATAGCACAATCAATGAGGGGAGTTTGCTTGGATGCTTCTTATAATAAACGCAAGAAACACAAGGGTGAAGGAGTACAAACAGAACGGGCGCTTTTGCGCTCTTTTTTTTTTCAATGGATTGATTGATTCATATGTGAGGTTTAACGTCCCAAGACCACCATACAATTATTAAAGACGTCGTAGTGGAGGGCTCCAGAAATTTGGACCACCTGGTGTTCTTCAACGTGCACCCAAATCTGACTGCACGGACATACAACATTCTCTCCATCAAAAATGCAGCCGCCGCAGCCAAGATTCAATCTCGCAATTTTTTTTTTTTTCAGGACGAAATCGGAATAGAGCCGGAGCATATGGCAGGTGCTAGATTTCTCTGATGATCTAGGCGGCGAAGACCTATGTGCCACCGATATGCTGAAGTGTTTAATAATCACGAAGTGCACACTCCTCAAGGGAATGCCAGCCCCATCAGCTCGAAGTGCTCTGCGAATTCTGGATACCTTGAAGCCAGCCCTCGCAAGCTTTCATTGATCTTAAGGATTTCTGACTACTTCATTTATTACAAGACAGCTGCAGACGAACCGGTCCTTAAAACTGTTCGTTGTTTGACACCTTCGGGATGCTCGCTTAACGATCCGAATAAGCCGAGTAAGGATCGTCATAGCAATCACCAACCGACGTTTTGTAGGTGGGCGTGCTGCGCTTGAAATTATAGCAGCATACGTTAATGATTGCAAAAGAACTACACATTTATAATTACTGTCTTTAACAGTGACGTCATTTTGCTCGTCTGCTTGTTTTGATCATCGGTGCTTTGGTTTCGTTGTCACCACTAAATTTGCTTGAATGTCATTACACTACAATAATTACTAGTGGCCGGTTTTTATATGTCTCAGCTGCAATGATTTCTTCGCATGAATAACTTCAATTTTTCTATTGACATGACTGCCTAACTGCACTAATTAAAATAATCTGTGTTAATTACTGCAACAAATTATGTATTTAGCCATGTTAAGACTTCTGCGACTACAGAAGTGATATTGAAGACAGCGGGCAAATATCACATTTCCCTGATGTTTCAGAATTTTCGACACATTTATTGAAACAACCGATACACATCAGTGTAGTACTCCTTTCCTAGGGTGGCTTATGAATGTACTCAATAAAACACTATTCTTTGTCATTCAAATTAGTGTTTCGTAATCAAAAGTGCGGACAGCCCGAACTGCGAACGCTGCTGAGTGCGCGAACCTTCAGTCCATATATTTTGTGATAGTGCGTTATATATGATGCAAAAGAAGATTCTAACTTCAACGCTGGCTGGCATCGGACGAACACATCTTAGTGTTGTTGCATGTCAGCAATGTGTGACCTCACAGTGTCAAAAACAAAAACTGCAACGAGGCATATTTTATCAAAAGCACTATAGACTGGATACTACGCTGTAGGTTACTGTGCTAAGTAGCTAATCATATGGGCACTGCCTCTTTCTGTCCCCAACAAAATGCTGTCCCTCGGTACAGCAATGAACATCGGTTGGCTTCAGTTCGCAGCGAAGCTCAGCCACACATTTCCCCAAGGTTTATTGCTTCCCGAATGCATTGCATTATATTTTTTTATGCCTTACCGTCATGCAGCATAGTTCCAGCTTCCGCGTCGCTCTGTAATTGTCTCGGGGGCACCGTTACACTGGAACAAATTTGTAAGAAAGAAATGTATTGAAATAATAAATTAGTTATGCGCGAATGGCAATTACTGCTTGTATATAGTTTCTAGGTAAAAAAAAAAGAACAGCAACAAAAGGGGTGCAGTCGAATGAAGCATGGCTGTGGTGCTTTGTTTCTGTTCGTGATTACAAAACACAAACTGGACCAGGAAATTGTGCAATGGAAAAACCTGACAAGTAGGAGTACTTCAGCTATACGTAAGAACACCAATAGCCACCATTACTGTAACGTGCCGACATCTAGGAACGTGTGATGAGGGCAGTTGACATGAACTGACGTAGTTGAAAACACATTAACACGTCAAAACAACAATTTTCGCTGCCACGTCTGCTAGCTGGAAAAATGAACATCAGAAAATGTACAATACCCCATAGGCACAGCCCCCACGGGAAATCACGAACAGGAGACCTCTACATAATACTTGTAAGAACCAGTCTCCTACAGACCTGTCTTGGTCTTTCCTGTAGCCTAATAAACCTTTCGATGGCCCACAGACACAATCAAGTGACACACGGGACCACTTGTTGACGCACTGTAACTTGTGAGGCCATACATAGATGATATGTCGCTTGCTCAATTTATGGTCGTAGGTCTACGTGTATGTATGCGGGCACTAATCATCCATCATTTCAATGGTTATGCAGCAACTGTTTATTATGACCTCTAGGCTAACTATAGTTCGATTTCGTGGTGACACTATACTTTACTGTGATGGCAAATGCTATACTTAGTCTGTGTATTTCACTGCAAATGTCGTCGGAAGACGATAGCCTTCTGAGTGTAAAGAGAGATTAAAACGTTTATTTGATGTTCTGCATGGGAAGATCGATGAATGGAATTCTGGAGGCGCTGCATGACCCATGAGCGTCATCTGGAAGTAATCTTGCGAGACGAAATTATCTGTGGAAGGCAGAGTTACCGATAGGTGTCAGCAACGTATCGTTTTGGCAGTATTGATTTACGCAGACGATTTTAGCAGTATTGATGTACGCAGGTGATATAGTGCTAATGGTCGACAACAAGAAAGATTTGCAGAGATTGATGGACATCTGCGGTAATGAGGGAGATAAGTTGGATTTCAGATTCAGTAAGAAAAAATCAGCAGTCATGATTTTTAATGATAATGAAAGTAGTTTGCTTAAATACAGGAGGTCACACTAGAGATAACAGATAATACAAATATCTGGGCGTATGGATAAGCAATGGGACCGAGTGCTTAAGGGAACACGAAATATACGTAACGACTAAAGGTAACAGGAATGCAGCAGTGATGAAAAATAGGGCACTGTGGAATTACAATAGGTAGGATGCTGTGAGAGGAATATGGAAAGGGGTCATGGTTCCTGGTCTGACGTTTGGCAATGTGGTCTTGTGCATGAGATCAGAAGTTCAAGCAAGATTAGAAATTAAGCAACGTGGAATAGGTAGGCTTGCTTTAGGAGCTCACAAGAATACATCAAATCAGTGAGTACAAAGTGATATGGGATGGACATTATTTGAGGGCAGGGAAGCTAGCAGCAAGATAAAATTTGAGAAGCGATTGAGAGAAATGGAGGAGGAGCGTTAGGCTAGGAAGGTTTTCACCTACTTGTACATGAAGAATATTGATACAAAATGGAGGAAGCGAACCAGAAAATTGACGGGTAAATACTTGGAAAACAGCAGGGGGGCAAACCAAAAAGAACTATCAGTTAAGAAGAAGGTGAAGGAAACGGAGACCAATATGTGGAAAATTGGCATGATTAAGAATTCCGCACTAGAGATCTATCGAAGTTTTAAGCAGGACATGGCCAAGGAAAGGATCTATGATAATACTCGGGGTAGTTCCCTACTGTTTGAGGCTAGGGCGGGAGTATTGCGAACAAAGACTTATCGGGCAAAATACGAAAACGTATACATGATATGAAGTGCGTGTGGAGAGGAGAAGTATACTGCTGAACATCTGATAATATTCTGTAAAGGGTTTCACCCTATAGTTCAGGATGATGGTGCAGAGTTTTTCAAAGCACTGGGGTTTAGGAACAGCAAGGGCAAAATAGACTTTAATCGGGTAGAAATAACTAGAAAAAGGTTATCTGATGGATGGCTAAAGTCAAGGCACGAGGGAAAATTAAATCTTTCACTCCAAAGTACCAGTCGCCAACTTCACTATTTGAACAAAAAAAGAGAAAGAAAAAAGAGAAATCTAGTTTGTGGTTCACTAAGTAATACGACTAGGTGTCGTTAGCCACCGCCCGATCTAAAGGGTACAGCCATATCGATTCATCTAATCCATCTATCCAGTAAATTGTAGTAAACACCCACCTTTCCGTGCATAACGTTGCATTGTCAGTGCGGCGTAATCTATGCATTTCCTACTATGAAGAAGTACGCCACCAAACATTGACAAGTTGATATTGCGCCTCAGATTTGCGTAGTATTTGCTTTTTAATCGACAATGTACACTAGTATGTTCATGGACACCAAATCAAGATGGTTTGGCATTGAGGAAGTAGTAGAACTTCAGCCTCGTAGCTGAATCGCTTCGGTTGACAGACAGACAAACAGAAAGAAAGACAGACACGAATACAGACAGACAGATTAAAATTTGTGCATTGAAGTATCCAAAGAAAGACTATCGTCTTTAAAAATTACAAATGGAGGGATCAGATTGGGACGTTGCTGTAAGATGACTTCAGACCATGCTGTCCAACTACTACTGCCTAGCTTACTTCGGGGCATGCCCACTCAGTAATCTTCCTTTTTCTTGTTTTTCTATATTCTTTTAAATTATTCCTAGAGCCGCTCACCTTGGGGCAATAGAGCTGTCGTAGCGCACAAAGGCGTGGCTGGCGTGTTTGTTGTCCATGTAGCAGTCCAAGCACAGGTTATAGTCGACGCACACGTCGCACTTCCAGCGGACTCCAGATATGTTCATCTGACGACAGCCGTCGCAGCAGATTCCATAAAACCTGTCACCTGCGGCGCATGAACACGTTTGAACTAGGCCGCCAATTTGGAACTTTCTGAACATCATATTTTAGCAAAGAGCACAATGGCTTATAACAGATTCACTGATCTCTTACATACTCTTGGCATATAGTGATTTTTCTCCTGAAAGATTTCGCGATAAGTCATTAACCGGTGAGACTGTTAGACAGACCCTTGGCCTGACACCAACAGTCCAAGTGTGGTCGTAAGGGTGGGGGTAGCTTTCTTAAAAGCAAATGGACTAAATGCACCGCTATAACATTTTTTTTTCAATTTACACGGATGTATATACTCTGCTACCTTACTCGCCATCGTCATTCATTACTCGTTTTTCTACACTTTCCCACGCCCTGGAGTAGAGTAGCAGGCAAGAGCATGCTATTGCTCAGGCGAACCTCTCTGCCTTTTTGCAAATAAACATTTCTCTCTCTCTTTAAATTTAATGTTCTGACGAGTGGAGTTCATAATACTGAGTGTCTTGAATTATTGGTGACGAAGATAATCCTGAACAATGGTGGGGGTTTTGCCAGGAAGGACAGGCGATGAGTACTATTGAAAGATATTGAAAGAAGGTTATTGATAGGTCATTAAGTGCTGTAGTAAAAAAAATCTGAACAGAAGTCACCGCCCTTGTTTTTTTAGGGGTGAAGCTCCTCAAGGCGCGCCTTGTGCGTCTTCCTTTGTGATAGTGCTTAACCTGTGGCACACACCCGCATACCAGTGGCACACACCTGCCCAGTGGCACACACCTGCCCTCTGGCACATATCTGCATGTCCACATGTTATGAAAAAGGTAGCACGGCGTCGTGATCATGATCTCGGTGTTAAAGCGCTGACAGGAGAAATGTGATACATACTCTCGTTTAGTCTTTGAATTGTCCGCTGGATGACGGTACTTGTATATGATCAATATATTATAGAAAGAAGCGAGATGGCGGTACCTCAAGTGTTCACTAGTTGGACAGACGCGTGGACACACGCACGGATGGACGGACAGGCAAGCAGACGGACATACAGACACATGGACGAACGGACGAATGGACACACGCACAGACGTACGTACGTACGGATGATAGGATTGATGGACACTTCGCCCCGCTCATCATCATTCATTCTTTGGATATGCTGTAATTCTTTTTTTTAGGTTAGCTTTCTTGGGGAGTTTCTATACTAGCTGATGAGTCGCTGTTTCCATGAAACGGCAAATCTGGGTCACATGTTGTGAAGTGAAAGACAACGGTCAGTAAAATATCGCCCATACGAAAACCCCCATTTTCATTGTTATTAGCTGTTTTGTTGCTCCGGTCATCAGCGATCACCTGTGCTAATCTTGTTCCGCTGCGACCGTATACGTTTACATGTGCATGCACATACGTGGCTCGTAGTCGACACACGTATACTTACCGCCTCTCACGATGGTGGTCCTATCTAACTTGTTGGATTTATTTCTTGGCTGCACTCTTTCTCTGTAAAAACATCGGTAGGCTATGTATTAGAAACATGCACTTGGCTGGAATTAAGCTGTCGACTGTGTGTCAAATAAACAATGGGTATTTGCACTTTAGATTTATAAATGACAACCGTGCGCCCATCTGCAGGGTCAGGTATGTGAAACTCATCGCTTGCTCATGTTTACATGGACGGACAGTGCACACGCATTCATCCAAGACACACCTCACTGCAAACTCAGTGCATTGGATTTGCTACAGGATCATCTAGCGCTGTCGACATCTTGGTAAATCCTCGATGGCAAACGATACATCGGTGCGGGCCCTGCGGCTCGCGTTTACTCAGGATACCGTGCTGCAGACTCAAGTTGTTTGCTGGCTGATATTACGCGGCTCCGACGCGGCGACATCACGGATCATCCAGCGCAGTCACACTTAGTCGTGTTCACCTTAGGAGAGGACGACACTGTACAGGGTCAAGCACATCTAAGGCAAACACCTCATTAGTATTCAAGCCGGTTAAAATATAGCATTTGTTAATATTCAGGAGTGAAACATTCGTCACATGACGTCTAATCGTGGTGTCGGTAAACATAATGCTTCTTCAAATTGAAGTCAAAGTCAAAGTTTATTTCACCAGAGAAATTCTGGATAGTATCCAAGACTAAAAGCTGCTCGGGGAAGCTTTACTTGGTCCCTGAATACCTTCTACAATTGGCAGCATACAACGTTAACAGTACAAAAAGACTCGTAAGATCATACTTATTAAACATATATAAGAAATACAGTAAAATAAATAAACTGCAGTTTGGACTACATCAAGCAATATGTGTAGCATACAGAGAGTAATGCCAACGTTTATAGAACTAGCTAGTTCTAGAAACGTTGAGTCATAGTGAGACTTTGCATTTAAACATTTAGTACAGTATAAAATCTTTGTAATAAAAAAGGTAAAGGAAGTACAGAAATTTTACCGAATAACAATATTGCCTAATTAATAAAGACAGAAACATTGAAATAGAAAATTGCAGTATGCCAAGGTAAGCCTAAACTCTGTATAGTCAGAACTTATCAACATGAGGGCTACAACATAGACGCAAAAAATTCGCGCAGATGCCGGTGTGTAGCACACTAGTAGTAAGTTCAGTATAATATTTACGTACTAAACAACACCTTTCATGTTGTTTTTTTATACTAATCAGGTTTTCATTTTATATTTGGACGACCTTGCACATACCTATGCGTGATGATTGACTAAAAGCAAACAAGAAAGTATGACGGCAACATATTTACCCCTTTATCTCATTCGGGGGGACATGAAGTAATAGAAAAGAGAAGAAAAAATATCAAAATGTAGGGAGGTTAACTAGACTAACTCCAGTTTGCTACCCTACATGGGGGAGAGGAGAATGGGGGAGACAAACAGAGAATAAAGGAGGAGATAAGGATAAGCAGACATAACAATAATAAGAAGGAGATAATAAGTAATACAAAACAGTGTGCAATGTTTCAGGCGTAACATGTGACAGTCTAGAGAAGTCAACACAAGGACCGAATAGTTGAGAATACTAGGCTGATTCCTGGTAGTTGACTATTAGATTTGCTATGCGAACTATTACTATTCCATGCTATAATCCGGCAATAGGCTGGACAATAATAAAGCTGCGAATTATGTCCATGAGCTGGTAGTGACTGAATTTTACAGAACAGCGTTTATCCATTTTTAGGAATGCGTGCGATCTCTCTTCACAGAGTGATTGTCGTAATAACACTATAACAGCGAGAAACGCGAAGCTTCGTTTCAAACATACAGCGCTGATAGCGAACATCCAGTATTCAGGAGCAACTCAGCCGTTGTTACTAACACAGTGGAACTGCAGAGGTCTCAAGAACCACAAGAAGCGGGCTCATTTCCGCCTCTATCTTGAGACCTTTGAGTTCCTCGTTGCCGTGGTTGCCCTTCAGGAACCCGGCTCGGACGTCAAACTCACAAACTACACTACATTTCAACACAACCCGGAGACATGTATACTTGTTCACAAGCAATATACCGCCCAGGAAGTCACACTCCCCACAACACCGCCTTTCCCATACACAATGGTGTCGGTGCTGCCTATAAGGTGATCTGACCCACCTGTTCATATTTTAAACATTTACTGTCCCCCAAAGCTTAAGAACGTCACGTTCAGCGAAACTTTCACACAAGCTATGCAGGTGGCAGGACGGGACCCCCTCCTGATCGTCGGCGACTTCAATGCCCCAAGCAGGTTATGGGGTTACCCACGAGAGGACACGCGTGGAAGGAAGCTTGCGGAACTTCTTTCTACACTTGGACTCACCCTCCACACTGATCCCGCCAGCCCAACACGTGTAGGCAACTCTGTTCAACGAGATACTTGCCCGGACCTCACAATTACACGCAACATACGCCATGCCGACTGGCTGAACACACAGGACACTCTCGGTAGTGATCATTGTGTATTAAACACAACTGTGTACATGCGTCCCTTAAAACGCCCACTTACACAAGCTCGTATCCCAGACTGGACAACTTTCCGCACCACTCTACCTATTGTAGACCCTCTCCAGTCGGGATACGACACCTGGTCTAAATCACTGACGTCTACACTGAAACAACACGAACAGCTGATACAGCTCACGGAAACTCAAACGGACGTGGACAACCACCTCCTCCATCTTTGGCAGGCCCGCCGCAGCCTCACCAAATGATGGAAAAAACAGAAACATAACAGACGCCTCAAGAAACGCATCCTAGAACTCACGGAGCAAGCTGCGGAATATGCTGCTCAGCTAGCCGACACTAACTGGGTGGACAGGTGCAACACGGCTGCACGCCAGATGTCTGGTCGCAACACGTGGCGCCTGTTTCGCGCTCTCATCGATCCAACACAAACACGCACGGAAACTCAACGTCACTTACATAAGGTCATGCACAACTTTACAGGAACGACAACACAGCTGGCAAACACGCTCAGGGACCGATACCTGTGCACCACCAAGGACCCCCGGACGGCCGCATACTCCTACGCAGGCAAAAAGAACACGCAGTTGGACACCCCGTTCCAGCTCCACGACCTCCAGGCGGCCTTACGCAAGATGAAGCGTGGCACTGCACCAGGGCGTGACCAGGTTACGGTCAAACTGTTGGCCAATCTTCCCGACGCAGCCTACGCCACGCTCCTCAAATACATCAATAGCATTTGGGACGGAGAAACTCCTCTCCCTCTTGAATGGAAATCGGCTCTCGTGACCTTCATCCCGAAGGCAGGTAAACCTATTGACGTGGAGAACCTTCGCCCCATCTCCCTCACGTCTTGTGTCGGCAAGCTGATGGAAACGATGGTGCGCGACAGACTCTCCTAGAAACACAGCACACTTTTGCGGACACCATGTTTGGATTCCGCCCTCAGAAGTCAGCCCAGGATATACTTCTACAGCTCCACCATGACATATTAGATCCTGTTGAATGCCCCCACAATGACAAGGTAGTCCTGGCCTTGGATCTTAAAGGGGCATTCGACAACGTGAAGCATGAGGTAATCCTTGACCACCTCAGTCAGACCAACTGTGGTTATAAAACATTCAATTATGTTAGACAGTTTCTTACAGACCGTCGAGCCTACATACGCATACAAGATGAGGAACATGGGCCTTACGTCATCGGCTCGAGGGGAACTCCTCAAGGCGCGGTCCTCTCTCCCCTCCTATTTAATATAGCCATGCTTCATCTTCCCCCCAAATTGGCTTCTTTACCAGGGATACATCACGCTCTTTATGCGGATGATATCACGATCTGGGCCACGCAAGGTAACCTGGGTCACATGGAGTCATGCCTGCAAGCAGCAGCGACTGTAGTCGACGACTACGCAACCTACTGCGGACTCCAGTGTGCCCCGGCTAAGTCAGAATTTGTGCACGTACGTCCCTCCCCTCAGGACACAACTCAGCTCCATATCAGTCTTCCCTCGGGACCGATCCGTGAGGCCAAGGAGATCCGCGTCCTTGGCCTCTTCATACACCACCAACGCAAGGCCGACACCACAATAGCCAAACTTCGCACGGTGGGAGACCAGGTGGGCCGTATGGTCCGCCGGGTCTCCAACAAGCGGGGCGGATTACGAAGCAGGGATGCAATGCGGCTTGCCCATGCTTTTGTAACGAGTAGAATACTCTACTCGACTCCCTACTTGCACCTACGCAAACACGAGGATGATCAACTCGAGGTCATCCACCGTAAAGTTATCAAGCGGGCTCTCGACCTCCCTATCACCACGTCCAACCAGAGACTTCTGGCCCTAGGCGTGGTGAATACCTACCGGGAACTTCGAGAAGCCCACCTCGTTAACCAATACACGCGCCTTGCACAGACCCATTCCGGTCGCCGCCTCTTGGACCGAATACACATCAAACACGATTACTATATTGAGGAAAGGGTGACAGTGCCAGAACCTGGAGACGCGCCCTCCGGGTCCGACCCCTTCCCCGCAACATGTCCAAAGAAAACCACAGTGGTCGCCGCCAGGCGCGCGCGGAAGCGTTGCAGCGACACTTTGGTCAAGAGGAACACGTGTGCTACGTGGACGTTGCCGGCCCGCACCATGGGGGGTGGTATACTGCCGCAGTCATACACAACGCAAACACCATAAACGGCCTCACTTTCAAAGCCTACAGCGCAACACACGCGGAGGAGGTTGCCATCGCTCTGGCTCTCACCTATCCCTCTTCTAAACATATCATCACCGACTCACGAGGGGCCTGTCGGAACTATCAGCTAGGGTGGGCTTCACCGCTTGCTCAGCGCATACTGGAACCTAGCTGCCGGTACGTTAATCCAACTCCGCGAAATCTGGTTTGGGCACCCGGTCACCAAGGACTCAGGGGTAACGAACAGGCCGATCAGGCCGCCCGCGCACTCTCTTCCCGGGCTATCTCCCTGTCTTTGGAAGCCTACTCGCAATCAGACAATTTGGCCCTTTCATTCAAAGATATTACCAATTACTACAAGGAGGAGCACCGGCGCTATCCAGACCCTTGTAAGGGACTGCATCGCGCTGACGAGCGCCTCCTTTTAAAACTGTTTACCAATACCGTACTGTGCCCGGCGGTGCTAAAACATTTCAATTCATCCTTTGATGGCACGTGCCAGTTCTGTGGTGAGGTGGCTGACACCTTTCACATCGTCTGGGCGTGCCAGTCTAATCCATCTATCCCCCCCAACCCCAATCCCACGAAAGAGGACTGGGAGGCGGCCCTGCTCGGCTGTCAAGACCTGAAGGCCCAAGAGGCTCTGGTTCAACGTGCGCGGGCGGCGTTGCTTGCCAATGGAGCCCCGGAATAGGGGTTCCACCTAGTGCTGTGAGGGTAGGAGGCCAATAAGGCCCCAACCCAATCACCTCTCTGTAACCATTTAATGGTTATTAAATGTTTTCACCCCCCCCCCTCCAGTATTCAGCACATGAGGAAGTTACATTTCATGAAGTGTAAGCTAGAGAGGCACATTTTATAACGATGCGCATTTAAAGGGGCCATGCAACACTTTAGGGCGAAGCTGTTTAGGCTGTGTGTCCTTCTCTCCTCCATATGTGGTATGTAGCCACCTCTAGTTTATGAATTGCTCAATAGATGGTGTTGTGTGTATACGTCCTTGTGAATGATATAACTAGATGGCGTTAGTAGTCTTCACAGCATATCCACGGAGTGAATGATGATGAGTGGGGTGAAGCATCCGTATGTTCATCCGCGTGTCTAACCGTTCGCGCGTTCGTCTGTTCACATGTTCATCACTCCCTCCGTGCTTCCGCCCGACCGCCCGTTCGTGCTTCTGTCCGTCCGTCCGTCCCTCTGTCTGTCCATGCCGTCTGGCCATCCGTCCATCTGTCTGTCCATGCTTCCGTCCGTCTGTCTGTCCATCCTTGCTTCCGTTCATCCGTGCATCTGTTCGTGCGTACGTCTGTCCGTTCGAGTGTACGTCTGTCCGTTTGAGCGTACATCTGTCCGTTTGAGCGTACATCTGTCCGTTCGTGCGTACATGTCTCTGTCCATTCACCCGGACGCACAGATGAGTGGACACATAAACAGACGGATGGAGGCTTTGCCTCACTCATCATCCTTCACTCAATGGATATGCTGTAATTTTTATGTAGCCATGGAATGGAATTACCAAAGAAGCCTATTACCTGTACGAATTCACCGTCATTTTTTTTTTTAGAATCGGTCCAGTACGAGTGGAGTTGCAAAGATTTCTTCACGCTGCAATTGCATTCTCCCTTCTCTCGTTCCGACGAAAGCGCTGGAATCTCAGTAGGAAGGAACAGCGCGGGGAAAGAAAATACGCCATGCGGGCATCGTGACCTTGAACACTTTTCTTTCTTTTCTTCGAATACGCGGCTTTTCAGTGCAATCGCGCGTGGACAAGTGGCGGCCTTCTGCGGCGGGCCTTTTAATGACCAAGTTCGCGATGCTCAAATCAGCCTATGTCTGATACAATGGCTGTGACGAGTCATTTGTAGCATCATGTGTCGAGAGAAGAGAAAGCAATTTTTTGGCGAACTGACAATGAGGATTTTTTGTGAATTCTAGGTGGCAGCATTTTCTGACCCCGGCCCCGCCGCGGTGGTCTAGTGGCTAAGGTACTCTGCTGGTGACGCGCAGGTCACGGGTTCGAATCCCGGCTGCGGCGGCTGCATTTCCGATGGAGGCGGAAATGTAGTTGGCCTGTGTGCTCAGATTTGGGTCAGATTAATGAACCCCAGGTGGTCAATATTTCTGGAGCCCTCCACTACGGCGTCTCTCAAAATCATATGATGGTTTTGGGACGTTAAATTGCACATATCACTCATTCTCTGACCACGCTCAAAAAGTGTTAGAGGGTCACTTTAACTTCACCATTTGCCGTTGGCTGCATGCCACGAAATCACGATTCTTACCCAGATTGGCTACATTATACGAAGCACGACACGAAGCAAGCTAAATAACACAAAAGGATAATCACGCAGTGCATAAGCAGGCTGTCACATGAGTAAGTATTCAACACTGTATAATGGCATGCATAAATATTTTGAAAATCGTAATAATTTCTTCAAAATTATGGAGCCCGACAACAACAACACCTCGTGAAGCTGCTTGATATATCTAGCAGTGTTAGCGTTAGGAAGTAAATTGAGAAATGATCCATATGAACAACTGATGCGGGATTTCATGGGGTGAGAATGGTAATCAACGGAGTTAGTTGGCTGACAGCTGATGCACCATATATATACAAGCACAGAGTGATGTTCAAGCTTAATACTCTTTTTTGCATATGTTTAGTATAGAAACGTTCGACGGTGGTGAACAGCTCTGAATGAGTCGACAGTGAAGAGCTCTGTTAATGTACTACGGAAGTAAAATTTGTCAATACATACGCTAAACCACCGGGCTTCTTGAGCCGCAGGAAGGGGTGCTCTCGGTAGTGCTTGCCGCTTTTGTAGCAGTCGTCGCAGAGATCATAGTCGCAACATACTTCGCACTTCCAGCGGGTCCCTGTTATATCTTTACGACAGCAAGCATCGCAGTGTACCCCTTCGAATTTCACATCTGCAATATGAAAATGGACTTGAGCAATCAATTTTACTTGCAGTATCAAACATTTTTTACGAGCTCTGACATAATTGTTTGGTCGCGACTTTTGAGCACAAAGTTTACTGTTAGAATTTGAAGCACTTATAGAGGCAACTGTGTTCTGGAAGACCTATCAGATGCGATAGCACATGGAGAAATTGTCGACAAAATCGAAAAAGAAGCTTTTTCATTCTCGTGGCTTCAACAGACAACTTAAGCTGACAAAGATGATGGGGTCTGTCGTAAAAAAAAGTATTTTGCCCTGTGTTGCATTCCTGTTCTAAACTATTCTGCTTAGGTTAACTATACGAAGGTGAGTGTTTTGTTGCATAAAGTTTGCTCTTCCTCTTCAATATATTTTCTTCTTTGTTCAGCTCATTTAATCAATATGGTTTATATCAATCGTATGTGTAATATAATAATTCAGTGCCGTATGAATGTAGTGAGTGAACATGATGTATCCTGAAATCTTACCTGAGGCGGCCATGATGGATGATCGTTGTTCCGGGGGCGCCGCTACTCTGTAAAAGTTGGTTTTGCAAGTCAAAATTAATCTGTTATATTGGCCTTCGCAGGAGAAAGCTAATGTACAAGGTTAATTTTCATTCAACATTCGTTTAGGGACATAATGCTCTAACTATGCCGAACTTTCTGTAATGCTAAGAAATGGAACCACCTGCCCACTTCGATTGTTACCACACTAAGTGCTTCTGTGTTTACATCCACCCCTTGAATATTATCGTTTGAAATAGCCGCTAACAAATGTACATTGTTTTGTTAAAACTGCCGCTCGATTCTGTAATGCTTTTTACAGCGAAAGCTGTTATGAGATCAAAAACTCTGGTCACGCGCGGCGCCGTAGTTGTCCGCCACTGCCGCCGCTTGTGTCCGTAACCACATCGCACGAAATTGAAAAAAAAAAAAAAAAGTGCTACCCATGAGAAAAAGGGGCTCGAACCCGGGTACACTGGGTGCCAGCCCAGTATTAACCACTGAGCCAAGCCGGCGCTAGGGATATGTTGGCAAACTCGCCATATTCAGGTTTGATGTCGGGAAAGCAATCGCGTTATTACGACTTATAAAGTATTTTAAAACAGCGAAAAAACAACCAGTCGTCGCAAATTGCGAATAGCGTAACGAGTGGGCCGTCCAATGCTCTAACACAATACAAAATCTTGTTCTTGTTCCCCTATAAACTGTGGTGTATACCCACTTCTGCCATAATTCCTCATCGTCATCAGACACTGCGTGAACAATCGGCACAAAATTTCTTGTAAATGTTCAACGGATACCACGCTTCTCAGACGGATGAACAGTTGCATAGCAAATACCGGCCTACTATCTAAAAAAACTTTATTATTATTGCCGTAGCGGGTATCAAGCAAGTGTGCTTGCAGTAGTTACCCGAAGAGTGTTTAAAAAATGCTCTGAAAGGCCACTCTTCTACCTTTCGCTGTGCCTGTGCTGCGTCTTCCGTGTGGGCCAAGCTGGGGGAGCCACCCAACATCAATGATAAAGTTACACGTGGCAGTAATTGTCCATGGTGTGCTTTTCCAACTTCCTCTGATCTTTCCAATTGAGTCACAGTATGAACGGCTGGAAAAACTTCATCGTAAACACGTCAGAGTCACTTTGGGGGTGCCAAAGTTTGCAGCGAGCACAAAGGGGCTTCATGAAGCTAATCTTCTGCCATTACGTCTTCTCGCCTCTCAAGGACTGTTGACACAGCTTTGCCTACTTGGCGAATCGAGCCCAGAACAAGCACTACTCAGTCGTCTTCGACGACGGACGGAATCGCGAGCTTTCGTGGCCCTCAGCAGCCTTCGCCATCTTATCATCGATTTCTCCAAAGACAACTTCGACAAGACCCACCTTGGTCACATGAGGATGTCGACTGTGACGTGACGATTCCACGGATGCACAGCAAGCATTCCACACCCGCAGCAGAGGTACGTTCTTTTGTACTTGAATATATTGTGACGGAGCGAGGTCTTGGCTTACAGGACAGCGTCCACCGAGAGTCGGCAGCCGAACAAGATGTCCGAGTTGCCTCTCGTGCAAGCGCCTAACGCACAGGCGTCTTCTTCATCTTCGCTAAGTGCCACGCTTGCTCCTGTCGATGATGCACCGTAACATCACTCCCCTGCGGCGGAAGCGCCGTCACGGCGCTTAGTACGGCGGCGACGAACGAGGAGGGTGATACGGTTTCAGTCTGGAAACGTGTACAACGTCTGTCTGGAGTGAGGTGGTCGAAAAGGCATTGTTTAGGGGTGCGATCTCGTAGCTCACGTCACTAAGTTGTCGTAACACTTTGTAGGGGCCATGGTAGTGTGATAGTAGCTTCTCTGATACTTGGCGGTTTGGTGTCCAGAGAAGTACCAGAGACCCCGGCGAGAAGTGCACGCTTTGGTGGCGACTGTCATAGCGGTCTTTTTGCTGCGCTTGCGACAAGTGCAGCCGATCACGGGCAAGCTGACGGGCTGCATGGGCTCGAGAAACGACATCGCTGGCGTACTCAGTAGACAAGGGGGCAGCCGAAGGAAGGAGCGTGTCAAATGGTAATGCTGGATGTCGGCCAAATAGCAAATAAAACGGCGAATAACTAGCTGTGTCGTGCCGTGAAGAATTGTACGCGAACGTGACAAAGGGGAGTGCTTTGTCCCAGTCACGGTGATCTGGCGAAACGTACATTGACAGCATCTGCGTCAGCGTTCGGTTCAGGCGCTCGGTCAATCCATTTGTCTGTGGATGATGAGCGGTGGTAAGCTTGTGCTCAGTGGAGCAGGCGCGGAGAATGTCATCCACAACACGTGAAAGAAAGTACCTTCCTCGATCAGTAAGCAGCTGCCGCGGAGCGCCGTGATGAAGAATGACTTCATACAAGAGAAAGTCAGCGACGTCAGTGGAACAGCTTGTCGGCAGTGCTTTAGTGATGGCAAAGCGTGTGGCGTAGTCTGTGGCGACTGCAACCCATTTATTTCCGGAGGTGGACGTAGGAAACGGGCCCAACAGGTCAAGGCCAACACGGAAGAATGGTTCCGTTGGTATGTCAATGGGCTCTAGGAGGCCAGACGGTAGCACAGAGGGGCGCTTGCGGCGTTGGCAGCGGTCGCAAGCAGTGACGTAGCGAACCACAGAACGATACAGTCCGGATCAGAAAAAGCGACGTCGCACACGATCGTAGGTACGAGAGACGCCTGGGTGACCGGCTGTAGGTACGTCATGTAGTTGTTCGAGAACGCTGGTACGCAGGTGATGGGGAAGCACGAGTAGTAATTCCGGGCCATCAGCGTTGAAGCTGCGACGGTACAGAATGTTGTCGTGCAGTTCGAACAGGCGAACGGAAGGGTCTGTCGGAGCAGAGGTCAGACGCTCGATAATGGAGAGTAACGACGGGTCAGGTCGTTGGAGATATCACCCAAAGCGTGGATGGAGAGAACGGAGGGGTCTGAATCAAGGTCTGTCAAGTCGGGCGTTTCAACCGGATAACGTGACAAACAGTCTGCGTCTGTGTGGAGGCGTCCCGACTTGTAGTGGACCACGAATGAGTATTCTTGCAGACGGAGCGCCCAGCGACCAAGACGTCCAGATGGGTCCTTTAGCGATGACAGCCAGCAAAGATGGTCCGTAACAACGGAAAAAGTTCGGCCATACAGGTAAGGCCTGAATTTCGCCACGGCCCACACTAAAGCTAGGCATTCACGCTCAGTGATGGAAAACTTCCGTTCGGCAGGTGAAAGAAGACGACTGGCGTAAGCAATCACGCGGTCCTTCTTGTGCTGTCGTTGGCCAAGGACCGCTCCAATTCCATGGCCACTGGCATCGGTCCGAAGCTCTGTAGGTGATGCTGGGTCGAAATGGGCCAGTATTGGTGGCGTAGTCAGCAGATGGATAAGAGCCGAAAAGGAGTCCGCTTGCTCTATATTCCATGCGAAGGGAACGTCCTTCTTTAAGAGATCAGTAAGCGGTCGAGCGATATCGGCGAAGTTGCGGACAAATCGACGAAAATAGGAACATAGCCCTACAAAACTTCGGACGTCCTTGGTTGAGCGTGGTTCAGTAAATTGTTGTACTGCTCGCACCTTTTCGGGATCTGGTTGAACACCATCGGCACTGACAAGGTGGCCGAGTATGGTGATTTGGCGACGTCCGAAATGGCATTTTGCAGAATTGAGCTGGAGAGCAGCTCTTCGAAAAACATCCAGAACGGCTGACAGACGTGTTATATGGCTGTCAAAGGTGGGTGAAAAGACGATGACATCGTCTAAATAACATAAGCAGATGGACCACTTATATCCTCGGAGAAGGGAGTCCATCATGCGCTCGAAAGTTGCCGGCGCATTACACAGTCCAAACGGCATGACTTTGAACTGGTAGAGGCCGTCGGGCGTAACGAAAGCGGTTTTTTCACGATCCATGGGGTCGACGGAAATTTGCCAATAGCCGGATCGAAGGTCGATAGACGAAAAGTATTGGGCACCATGGAGGCAATCGAGGGCGTCATCAATCCGAGGCAAAGGGTAGACATCTTTGTGGGTCACTTTGTTTAAATGGCGATAGTCCACGCAAAAGCGCCAGCTGCCATCTTTCTTCTGAACGAGCACGACTGGGGAAGCCCAGGGGCTGGATGAGGGTTCTATTACGTCTTTAGTAATCATTTTATCCACTTCATTTTGAATTACTTGGCGTTCCTTGCGAGATACGCGATATGGACGCCGCCGTATAGGACTGGCATTACCAGTGTTGATCTGGTGAGTCACTGCAGTTGTTTGGCTGAGAGGGCGGGGGTCAAAGTCGAAAACGTCTCTATATGATGTTAGCAGACTACGGAGGCTGGCAGCTTGCACTGCAGTGAGGTCGGGAGCAATCATCTTGTTAATGTCATCTGCAGGCAGAGTGTAATTGCGGCCAAGACAGGGGGATGTAGTATCGGTGTCCAAACCAGTAACGTTGCAGCTGTCAAGTGGAGATAGGGTGGCCAAAGACATGTCTTGCGGAATAACTTGAGTCAAGAGACTCACGTTGAGTAGTGGTATAACCACTGTATTATTAGCGACAGCGACAACAGTGTGAGCAAGGGCGACGTCTCGGGCCATCAGTACGTCGACTATAGGAGTGACGAGGTAGTCACCGTCGGGCACATGACGTGAGCACGACAAAGTGACATATGTAGCAGCTTGCGGAGGCAAGCGAACGTGGTGACGAGAGCGTAAACGGGGAGAATAGTCTGCTGGAAAATCGGCAAACTGCGGCAGTTCAAGCTGAAGAGCACCAGTGGCACAATCAATGATCGCAGAATGACGTGACAGGAAGTCCAAACCAAGTATTAGGTCATGAGGACACATTTCAATGACGGCAAACTGAACTAATGTAGGATGGCCGGCAATGGACACACGGGCCGTGCACATCCCTTGAACATCAGGGGTCCTCCCATCAGCGACACGAAGTTTGTGGGAAGCGGCAGGCGTGAGCACTTTATGTAGGCGTCGGCGTAGGTTCGCGCTCAATACAGAAATGTGCG